ATTCCTGCACTTCAGGTAAAGAAATTATTGCTTACTGAAAATAAGTGATATGCCAGGAGATAGAAGAACTTTCATCTCCTGTTTCATAGTTTTTTTAATGCACTTCAGTTCTTCTTTGCCTTAATCTTAAAAGTTCTAGTTTAAAACATTCTCAGATTTTGAGTTTAATCCTGTTTTGTGTATGTAATACCTTATCGCTGCTAAAATTACAAATGCTTACTGGGAATATAGCTCTTTTTTTCTCCTATGTAGGGTTGAAAATAAAGTTTCTGTATACTATCAGATGTGTTGGGGGTTTCCAACACATTCAGCAGTTCTACAATGAACACCCAACTGGATGTCCTATATAATTCAGTCTGTCTCTCTTTTTTTTTTTTTTTAAGAATTATTTTATTCACTTTTATTTTAATTTGATCAGAGAGAGACAGAGCAAGAAAGGGAGAAAGATTTTTTAAAAAAAGGGAGAAAGCGAGAAAGCAAACTGCCAGGTCAGGGACTGGAACCTCTGTGGGCCATGTGGGAGTCCTGTGCCTGTAAATACCACGCCACCTGCTGGCCCCAATTCAGTCTTGACACAATGTACCTGAAGTTTGAGTCAGATCCCACAAGTTAATGGCTTAGTTCCTTAAAACTGCTACTATGTGAGACACCAATCACAAATAGTAGGTTGTTACCCATACAGAAGGTTCTCAGTCTTTAAGGGCTAGGACATAAGGACAAAAGTGATGCTTAAAACCTGTGGGTAATGAGGCACATGTTGTTTACTGAATGCCAGTTCTTATTTCATAGCAGTGAATGTTTGGTCTCTTGGCTGCAAGTAGCAAAACTTGTCTCAGCTTAAATAAGAAACAATAACTGAATCTATAATAGAAAGGCAATATGCACCTAGTATTAGGGACTTTAGACCTAGATATTCTTATGCATCAGGATCTCCTCTGCCTCTCATGAGTTCTCTACTTTTTCTGGGGTTTCTTTTTTCTTAGGCCTCTTTAGCTGCTCTGGGGTGACACTGTCAGAGAGCTCGCTTATCTATCAAAGAACGAAAGCCTCTCTTCCAACTGAGTGCTTGAAGTCCAGAGGTTTTGCTCAGGTCAAGTCATATACCCACCCTTTGGATCAGTCACTGTAGCCAGGGAAGGGTGACTACAATGAGAAGCCCAGTATAGGTCATATCTCAAACTCTTGAGAGAGACCCATCACATTGACCTGTTAGTACTGTAGTATATTGTTATAATCACATGATTTAATTTTGATTTATTGTTGCTAATCTCTCACTGTGCCTAATTTCTAAATAAACTTTATCATAGTGTAGGAAAAAACATAGTGTATATAGAGTCTGGTATTATCCATAGTTTGCCATCCCCTGGGATTATTGGAATTTACCTCCTACTGTAAGAAGATCGCTACTGTAGAAATGTTATGATTAATGTTATCAGGCTATTATTATAGTTCAGTGATTCTAACACCTTTGTAAGCATGTTTCCATGTTTCTTGAAGTATTGGTAAGGACTTTTTATTTTCTTTTTAGTGTTTCTCTTTTATTCATGGTAGAAAGTCTGCAAGCAAATATTCTACAACTCTACACCAATGCTCTGTGGAACTTGGTCATGCCACAATCCATCCTCCAATTTGCCATTTCATGAGGATCCTGGATTTATGTGTCCAGCATATTGCTACCAGACTCAAATCCTACATGAGCATGTGGGATCCATCTCCTGCACAAGGCCCAGCCATTGTGTCCCAGGGGTGGCCAGGGAATTCTTTATTAGGAACAGTGCTAACAAAAATTTACCTGCATAGATCAGTCAGTTTGCAAAAAGATTGTCACTTTGTCAGTCTTGTTTAAATTTTTTTCATGAATTTTTCCATTGTGTTGAGGATGAAGTTCAAACCTTTAACATCTCTAAGGCCCTTTATGATCAAACATCTGCCTACCTCTCCGACCTATTATGAGCTACTCTTCCTCCTGTTTTTTTCCTCTGCATGACCTACCCATAGTCATCTTTCAGTTCTTAGAGTGCTTTAATTTTCCACATAGTTCAGGGCCTTTGCATTTGCGATTTTCCCCTGCCTTGACTGCTGGCAACTCCTTTGCCCTCATGTAATTAACTGTCTAGTCTCGAAGTAGGTCTCACTTTAGGTGGTGTTTTTTCAGAGAAGCTTTTCTTGATTTCACTAATTCCTTCTGCTTGTCTCCTTACTTAGGCTAGTGCAGCCTCCCAGGTACTATATAGCACTTGGTACCTTTATACCTATCTTTGTTTCAGTTCTCATACTTACCATTTTTGGGGCTTGTCTGTTTTCCTTGACAGATTAAATGGAGCTTAGTTACCAGTGAGTTCCTGTCCTATTTGCCACTTTTTCTGGCATATACCTTAAAGTTAACAAATGTCTGTTAAATTAATGAAAAAAAAAATTGTGATTGATTTTCATAGTAGAGTATTTTTTTTTTTTTAAGAAATATTTTTCTTTTTCTCTCTCTCTCTCTCTCTTTTTTTTTTTTTAAGAGATTTTTGCTATAGTGCACATGCACTCACTGGAGATAGAACGTGAGAAATCGTCTCCCAGGGAAGATGGCTATGATGCAGTCTATTCTCCTCTTAGAGTTTTGGGAACACAAACACATACCCAGCATGTTTCAAGCTGCTGGGTCTAGAACTCAAACCCCTGTTGGCCATGTGGGAATCAAGTGCTTTAACCACTAAGCCAACTGCTGAAACCATTTTCCTTCTTTTTTTTTTTTTTTTTTGGTGTGTGTGTGTGTGTGATTCCCATAGTAGTATACAATCAAAGATTGTTGTTACTTAATGTCTTTGGCTAAGGATCCCTCTCCAAGCTTCTTTATTTAGAATGTGAATGAAGGCTTTTTAGGTTTCAAAAGATTCATATCTACTACAGCAAGTCCTGGTGTTCCCCAAAAAAGCTGCATGCTTTATCTGTCCTGTTAATAGGAGTAATCGTTCATCTTCTTCTACTTTACAACTTGCTACTTACTTACTCTTATAATATCTTTTTTTAAGAATTATTGTATTGAACTTTATTTTCTTTATTCATTTATTTTTAATTTGACCAGACAGCAACAGTGAGAGAGAGGAGAGAGGGAAAGTGAAAAACCAAACCGCCAGGTCCGGGACTCTCACCATGGTCAGCCATGTGGGAGTCCAGCAGCTCAACCACCATGCCACCTACCAGCCTCGTAATATCTTTGATATAAATACAAAGACAGTTTTTTATATTTTGTTGTATACAACCTTTTATAAGAGGGTCAAAGTTTCTTTAGAACCTCTTGTGTTGCTGAAAAATTCAGGCAGAATTTTCTATTCTAGATGATGCCATTTATTGTAATATAAAAATGATTTAAATAAGTAGCTAATGAACATACTTTTTTCCTTTGAAAATTTTTCTTATAAAAATGACACTGTAGGAAAAACGTGTTTATTCTGTGGTTTTGAGTGCCTGGCATATTGTCAAGGGGGAGGTCGTTCAGGAAATGCCACCACAAATATGCGCTGCTTTGCTATATTGATGCTATATTGATTAGTTCTTTCTTGAAAAACAGGAAATGCAGGGATAGGCTTACTCTGAGCTCACTTTATCTTTTTACAGACAGATACTCCAAGAACTATTGTCATCAGTCTCCTCCCAGGGAGTTTATCAGCCCGGGAAGATTAACATCACAGAAGGAATGTAGAAATCAAAACACACTTAGACATTATTATTTGTTCTGCTAAGGACTCATTCCTGTTTCCCTCAGATAATTTACTCTCCCCTAAGTTGCCTAAAACCCCTTTTCCTCTCTTCCTGTGAACAAGGTGTATAAATACATTAATCTTAATGTTTGGGGAAAGTGTTGACTTTTCTGTGATATTTTTGTGCACATAAGACATATCTTTTGTCCTACTAATGTGCCTATAATCAAATTTCTTTTATGGACCCTGTTGTTGGATCCTCTCCTGCACAAGTATTATCGAGAATGTATGTACACCATTCCTCTGTGTTTCCCATTTGTTTATTCTTTCATCGTGCACAATTTAGTGGTTTCATTTTAGGTAAACACAGAAGTATGTTGTTTTAATAGCCAAAGGGCTTATTTCTTCACCATAGAGAGAAAAGGAAAGCACCTTCCCAAACGGGGCATTACCACACCACAGGCCTTCTCCCTTTCTCTTTCCTGTCAAAATTTGAGGCACACATGCACCTGGTATGTTTTTTCTTTTCTTTTTAATGATTTAATTTTATGTATTCATTTATTTATTTTAATTTTCCCAGAGAGAGACTCAGAAAGAGAGGGGGGCAATGTGAGAAAAGCAAGCTACCAGGTCCGGGACTTGAACCACGGTCAGCCATGTGGGAGTGTCTAGTGCCTTAGTCTCCACGCCTCGCTGGTATATTTTTCAAGCTGTCATTGCTGGAATTCGATGCAATTCAAACTATAGCCAGCCATGTGGGATCTGGCTCCTTCCACCACTAAGCTACGGGGCTAACCTAAGGTACACATTTCTTTAAATACTTTTCTTTCCCACAGCTCTGACCAGTTGCTTCAGGGAAATAAAGCTGGCTATATATCATGGGATAATCTATAAAAAGAAAAAGAAAAAAATTTCATATAATCTAATGCCACAGATATTCAAAATGTCAGTCTTTTGTGCAAAGTAAAAGAACAGTGAACCTGTACCCTGGTGGTTAAGGGAGCTGGATCCTTCGTGGCCAACCTCATGGTTCTATTTCTGGCCCTGGTTCTAATCCCAGCCCCAGGGCTTGAAAAACACACCAGGTCATGTGAGTGTGTGTTCCAGATTTGGAAAGGGTGGAGAAATGAAGGAGAAGGGATTATGGCATGACAGCATCCCATTGAGGGGGCTCTCTTTCTTCCTTTCTGTTTGTCTGGTGAGCACATGCACTTTCTGGCAATAGGAGGAGAGTTACCTCATACCCATATTCAGGTATTACTTATCCTACCTCATAATAGGCAATCAATAATCTGATTTTTATTACTGTAGATTGGTTTGCCTGTTCTTGAACAAATACAAATGGAATCATGCAAAACGGAGTCTTGTTTTAAGGCTCTTTTTTCTGAATGTAATGTCATTAATTTATTTTGCTATGTCTTTCATTGAGCAGAATTTTTAAATTGTGATGAAATCTAATCAAATTTTTCCCTTTTTACTTGGTTAAGGCTTTTGTGCTCTGAGAAACTTGCATTTCCTAGGTTTGCCAAGGTATTCTTCTTCTTTTTTTTTATTTTTATTTTTAAAAATTTTTATCTATCTTTTTGAGTTTTTTTTGCTACAGGGAGCGTGTGCTCGCCAGACAGAGAGACAGAGAGATAGAAAGCGAGAAATCACTCCCCAGGGGGGATGGTCCACGCCGCAATCCCTTCTCCTCCATTCTCCTCTCGGGATCGTGGGCATGCACGCACATGCGCCCGGCATGAGTTTTAAGCCACCGGATCTGGGACGCGAACCATGGTCGACTACATGGGAGTCCAGCGACATAGCCATTATACTGACTGCTGGTCCCCCAAGGTATTCTTCTATCTTCAAGAAATTTTCAGTTTTGCATTTATGCTTACATATCTCTGTGTGTATAGAATTTGTGTATGTGATGTGAGGTCAGAGTCAAGATTTATTTTACTTTCTAGGCATTTGTCCTATTCTTGGATGACTTGTCGAAAAAAATTTTTTTTGGGACCTGCAGATGGCATAGTGGTTAAAAGGTCTGACCTTCCACATGGCTGACCATTGCTTGAGTCCCAGACCTGGCTGCTTGCTTTCTCACTTTCCTTGCTCATTCTGTACCTCTCTCGGCACATTAAAATAAATAATAAATAAATAAAGTTAAGTAAAATAATTATTTTTTTAAAAAAATTGTCTTTTTCTGTCAGATTGTTTTGATGTCTTTTATGCAGATGGACTGTGGGTATGTGTAGGTCTTCTGAACTCCTGTTTTCTATTAGGTTTTTGCTGTGGGGCATGTGTTTCCTGGACAGAGAGACAGAGGGAAAGTGAGAAATCGCTACTTTGAGGGGATGGCAACTCTGCAGTCCATTCTCCTCTTGAGATTTTGAGCATGCATGTAAACATGCCTGGCATGATATTCAAGCTGTCAGGTCTTGGATTCGAACTGCGGTTGGCCATGTGGGAGTCTAGCACCTTAACTACCATATCACGTGTTGGGTCCAAAAAACAGTTTTTAAGATCAAAACCAAAACATATTTTCTCTTCCTTATTAAAATTGCTGACATCCTAGGAGCATTATTCACACACTTTGGGACAGAAGAATAACATTTCTACATTATTTGTTAAGAATACTTTTAACTGACTGGGGCCAGCAGGTGGTGTGGGACACCTGGATGAATAGGAAACAATTAATTTTACTATTTGCAACTTTTTTGTAATCCTAAATTCAAAATAAAAGGTAAAAAGAGGAAACTTTACTGAAGTACTTTGGAAACCTAATTATTATGGATAATTCTGAGTTTTTTCTTATTTTTTAAAAGAATTATTTAATTTTATTTTTTATTATTATTATTAATTTTTAAGAATTTGACATAGGGTACATGCACTTACCAGGGAAAGTGAGAAAGCAAGCTACCAGGTGTACAATTTGAACCTTAGTCAGCCATGTGGGAGTCCAGCATCCCAACCGCCATGCCACCTGCTTGCCCTAATAACTCTTGAGTTTTAAGCAGCCAATCGAGAAACTTTTGGAATGACAACTATCATTAATATACAAGGACCATCTGTACTGTTAGTGTATTTAATTACTCATATCATTTTATTATAGCTGTTTTTTACTTTTTCCCAACTTCTAAAATTTTAGGTTTTTTGCCATTGGTATTTCTTGTTTTTTTCAGCTTTAGTCTACTCTTCTACATTCCATAGACAGTGAACTTTTATGTGAAATGTGTCTGTGAAAGAAAATGAACTAGATAGAATCTCAAGGCCAAATTAGCTATGAGAAAGGCTCTTTGATAACTATTTGGCATTTTAGATCAGGTATGGCAAAAACCTATCGTAGTATTCCTTCATCCATTGCAGGTGTTGCTCATTGATTGAACACTTGTGGACACTGAATCTTGCTTTGCAGTGTTTAAGAAATCTACCACTAGTTGATTGTAGTTGACATTTATTTCATGACAGAAATTTATTTGACACCTCTGATTTAGAGGATGAATTTGTGGAAGAGATTTTTTGAAATAACTGTTCTTTAGATTAATGAGCTGTTTCATCCACTGAAGTAATTAATAATCTTGTTTCTGGAAGTTCAGTTATTTAACCTTCATTTCTTTGTCACTTAAAGTTTCAGTTGTTTGTGAAGCCAACCAAATCTACTATGCTTAGAAAATAGTCTGTAAGTGGGGCCGGCAGGTGGCATGGACGTTGAGGCTCTGGACTCCCACGTGGTCGACCTAGGTTCAAGACCTGAACCTGTGGCTTGCTTTCTCACTTTCCCTCTCTCTCTCTTTCTGCCTTTCTCTGGTCAAATTAAAAATGATGATAATAAAATCAAATATATAATTCTTTTAAAAAAAGAATCTAGTCTTTAAGTATAATGTAATTTTTTAAAGATCCAAATACTTTGATGTAACATCTTTAGCCTCTTAATTAGATGACTTTTTTGTAATGTTACTCACTTTTGTTCTTGTTTTTCCTTGCTTTTTTAAGGAATGGACCTACCCTATGAGACGAGAGATGCAGGTATGACAAATTTACATTTGTTTAAGCCAACTCATTACTAAATGATGGAATTGTTGGGGAAATGAATGGGAATATGGTAATCTGTGTGTGCGCAAATTGAGTTATTTTTATTTGAAAAATTGGACAGTTTATGTCTCTGTGTGTGTGTGTGTGTGTGTGTGTGTGTGTCTTTTTATGGGAGGGCGTGGGGAGTGAGCTCGCCAGAAAGACAGAAACAGAGACAGAAAGTGAGAAATCATCCCCTGGGGGGATGGCCACATCGCAATCCCTTCTCCGTTCTCTCAGGATCTTGGGCACGCACACACACCTGGTGTGAGTTTAAGCCACCAGCTCCGAGACTCTATCCGCAGTTGATTACATGGGAGCCCAGAGACATAGCCATTACATTAACTGCTTATCCCTCATGTCTTTTGATAGCAGGTTTCCTTTCTCTGTCTACTTTAGATAAGCTAAAAAGAGTTGACTGTAAAGCCTATCAGACTTTTTTTGTTAATTCATTTTTTGTGTCTGATTTCTTTTTTTCTTTTTCTTTTTATTTTTGAGAGGTTTTTGTTATAGGGAGCATGTGCTCACCAGAAAGACAGAGAGACAGAAGGCGAGAAATCGCCCCCCAGCGGGGATGGCCACGCCATAATCCCTTCTCCTCCATTCTTCTCTTGGGATCTTGGGCATGCACGCACATGTGCCTGGCGTGAGTTTAAGCCAGCGGATCCGGAACTCAAACTGCTGTCCGCTGTGTGGGAGTCCAGCAACATAGCCATTATGTCAAGTGCTGGTACCTTGTGTCTGATTTCTAATCAGCTTTTATAATTAACTAGAAGACTTGAGTCAAATATTTCCGTTTTGAACAAATTAAAATGAAAGCTAAATAATCCTCCTAGTAGTTCATTTTGTTCAGCTTTTCTTACCACATACAGTCAACTCCATTATCCTCAGGTTTGAGCAGTATCTCTTATTCCTGGGAATCCTTGACTTCAAAAATTCTGCTATTTCACTCTCTTAATGAAAGTCCACTTTAAAAAAAAATGTGAGTACCCATAAGGCATTTTATTTGTTGCTACAAGGAATACAGGATAAATCAAACATGATTTCTGCCCACAAGAAGGTGGTAGGAAAAATCAGTCTTATTCACAAATAAATATATTTTATAGACCTGAGCTACAAAATTACATCATGCTCATATCTAGGGTGTGATTTGTTCAGAACCAAAACTTCCTGTATTGAATTTATAAAGAATCTGGATTCAGCATTTGGATGATACTTTATTGAAATCTTGTCAACGAGGAAATGTTTCATGTTGGGTTTTTAGCGTTTTGATTATAGTTTGCTGCTATTACTAGAGACAGTAATTTTAATCCTGTTGTAGCTTTTGCTGCTTTTAATTTGAGTGAATAGGTTTTATATAATTCCAAAAAGAATATTTTTTCTTTCTTTTTTTTTTGGGGGGGGGGAGGTTTTTGCTATAGGGCGCATGCGCTCCCGAGACAGAGATAGAAAGTGAGAAATCACCCCCCAGGGGGGATGGTCACGCCACAATCCCTTCTCCTCCATTCTCCTCTCGGGATCTTGGGCATGCATGCACATGCCTAGCTTGTTTAAGCCACCGGGTCCAGGACTCGAACTGCAGTTGGCTACATGGGAGTTCAGTAACATAGCCATTATGCTAACTTCTGGTCCCCAAAGAGAATATTTTTGATGGCCTGTTTTATTCCTAAACAAAGAACTAAAATTAAGTTTTATTCTAAAAGGCATAATACTTCTACCCAAACTGCTTATAAAAAGCAATGTAAATGTTAAAATATCTTACTTTAGAAGTATATTTAAATTTGGAATGTCCCATTTGATATAATACAGAACATTTCCATTTCTCTTCACAGTCATTTGGTCAGTATGTCTAGGAAAAACTTCCTAAGTAGTGATCTTCTAGTTAAATTACTGTAACTACTCTGAAATCATCCCACAAATCCCAAGTATATGGTGCATACATTGTATAGATTTAAATTGCTGATCGTTTCAATTACTTTTTTATTTTTTAGGAAATTTTACCTGGATTGTTTTTAGGTCCATATTCTTCTGCTATGAAAAGCAAGGTATGAACTTTTTTGGGGGTGGGGAGAGGTTTTTGCTATAGGACGCATGTGCTCGTCAGAAAGACAGAGAGAGACAGAAAGCGAGAAATCACCCCTCAGGGTCGATGGCCACGCCGCAGTCCCTTCTCCATTCTCCTCTCAGGATCTTGGGCACGCACGCACACATGCCCCGTGTGAGTTTAAGCCACTGGGTCCATGGTTCATATCGCGGTAGACTACATGGGAATCTAGTGACATAGACATTACGCCAACTGGCCCCATAACGTATGAACTTTTAAATTAGGATCACCAAGAAATTTTACTAAACAACTTTTTAGCAGTAATGGTCACTCTGGAATATGTACCTCTCCTAATTGCACTGGACTAGTGGTTTCAACACAGATCACAAAATGAATTTTGGATTATTTTTTAAATTGTTTATTTAATTTTATTTATTATCATTATTATTATTTAGTTTACTTCAGGGCAGATGCATTCACTAGAGAGCAACAGAGAAAGTGAGAAAGCAAGCCACCAGGTCTGGGACTTGAACCGCTGTCAGCCGTGTGAGACTCTAGTGCCCCTAACCTCCATGCCACCTGCTGGCCCTAAAATGAATTTTTTACATTTTATTTTTCTCAAGAAATCCATGTGTTTGAAAACTTTACCAAGAGGTTGACCTTTATAAGTTATTTACCTTCTAAAGTATTGGACGTTCATAATTGCCAATCATAGCTTCTGAACAATATGAGATACATTTAAAGGCCAAAACAAGGAAAATTAACATTTTAGTTGACCTTTTCTTGTCAAGGGTAAGAATGCATTTGTATTTTAGTTGAAAATCATTTATCTTGTTTGTGTTTGTCCAGATTTTAGTGGTGTGAGTGCTCTGGGTTGGAAAATATTGTATTATTTGGTCATCAGTAAAGTCATGACTTATTTTTCTGTCTTTCTATGTGAAAGTGTGTCATGACTTTTCCAATGATCTAATTTGCAGTAGTTGAGCTGTAATGGACTAATTCAGTTATACAGTGAAAATATTCCTTGACTTCTTTCATGAATTATTAATAATACTGTTATAGATTATTTAATGCCAGAAGTGAGAATTAAATATATAGAATTACTAGCTGAAGGTATCACACTGAACAGCTGAACTATATTACACATATTGCTGTAATGGAACTTATCATCTAGTTAGTAAAATAATGTGTCATTGTAAATCGCTTGCCAATAAAAATTTATTTGATAATTTTTAGACTTGTCATGTTTAAAGTTTCCATAAGTGGCTGGCAGGTGATGTGGTGGTTAGCTGGACTGAACCTCCACATGGCTGACCATGGTTAGAGTCCCAGACCTGTTGGCTTGCTTTCTTGATTTCTCTCTGTGTGTCTCTTTCTGGTCACATTGAAAACAACAATAATGATTAATAAAACAAAGGAAATAATTCTTAAATAAATATAAAATTGCCTTAAATACATAATCAAAAGCACTAGAGAATATAGTCTTATATCACCTCTGAAAAATCAAGGCTGTAGTTAATATATGATGGATTGTCAGGAAAGTCATGATGTATTTTTGCATAGAAAAATATGCCATGACCTTCCCGACAACCTAATATAACTACAGTAATAAATAAATAAATACTTACCATGTGTCCCAGGCCTATGTAATGACATTTCTGTGTGTTAGGTTAACTAATTGCAATGACCACTTAGTGAATAGGTAGTGTTTTCATCATTTTCATGTGAGGAAACTGAGCCACACAAGTTCAGTTCTCTAGCAGATGTGGATTTATGGCTTGAGCTCTCGTGACTATGAAAAGCATGCTTTTAACCAGTATCATTGTTGCTCTTTGGAGGACATTTTGGGTATTAGTCTTGAGTCATTAAAGTATCTTGCTGATCACTTTTGGTATGTTACTATAAAATTAGCTTTAATCCCTTGTACTTAAGGCTCAAACGTGTGTGCTGTGTATTTTTAATATCTATGTTACAAAAAAATGGTGTCTTATATTTTAAACTATTTCTTTTCTCTCTTCCCCCGTCTTTTTTTTTCTTTATAGCTACCCATACTACAGAAACATGGAATAACCCATATAATATGCATACGACAAAATATTGAAGCAAACTTTATTAAACCAAACTTTCAACAATTATTTCGGTAAGTATTATTGCTGTGTGATTCATTAAAAAAAAGTTTATGTAGCAAACATGTAGTGTTTTTATTTCAAGTTCACTTTACATTGTCACACTTTGCTGTATTTTGTCAGTATGGATGGATTGTGGTGTATCACTTTTAAAGTTTATTGAAATTATTTGAATAATCTTGTCTCATTGCAGAATTCAAAGGTTCAAAAGACTGTTCAGGGACAAACAGATGGTGTATTGGTTACTGCGCTCAACTCCCATACCCGGCAGTTTAAAAAAAACTTATGCCAGGGGACCAGCAGATGGCATAATGATTATATCACTATACTCCCACATGGCCGACTGAGGTTCATGTCCCAGACCTGGAGGCTTGAAGCTCAGGCTGGGCATGTGTGCATGTATGCCCAAGATCCTGAGAGGAGAATGGAGGAGAAGGAATTGTGGCGTGGCCATCCCCCCCGGGGGAGGTGATTTCCTGCTTTCTGTCCTCCGGCGAGCGCATGCACCCTACAGCAAAAATCTCTCTAAAATAAAGAATGTGCAGTTGTCCAAAGGGGATTGTTTCTGGGACTCCCCTGCCAAAATCTGGATGCCCCTAGTCCCTTAAACAGAATAGCATATTTTTGTATTTAATCTATACACATCCTCATATGTTGTTTTTCTTTAATGCCAGAGAATTTTGTACATAAAAGAGAGAAATCCTCTCACCACTACTGTGGGGTCTGGTCATAGTTGTAGTCCCTTTTCCTTCCATTTTACATCAGGATTCCTGCCATGTGTGCACACATTTCTCCTCTGGGACCAGTGTTAAGACTGCGCTGATCCATGTGGGGATCCAGCTCCCGCTATAGTACATTGTTTAACCAGTGGTCTACAGGGCCAGCCCATGCTTTAATCATGGTTTGATGACATAAAATGCAGTGTAAAAAGTCTGTACCTATTCTGTTCAGACTAAGGCCATTATTTTTTTCAAATATTTTCCATCTTCAATTAGTTGAATGCACAAATGTGGATCCTATGGATATGGAAGGCTAACAGTATACTGAAAAGTAGGTTTTTCTGTTTCTTTACTCAGTTCCCCTTCTTGTAGTCCTGTACTGTTAACCTCTTTTTTTAATATCCTAGATATGTTTTATATATATATATATAAAACACACACAAGCATATTTCTTTTTCTTTGAGAATTATTTCATTTAACTTTATTTATTTTAATTTGACCAGAGTGGGATGAATGAGAGATAGAGAAAGATGGAGAGGGAAGGTGAGAAAGGAAGTCACCAAATCCGGGACTTGAACCGTGGTTGCCCTGTGGGAGTCCAGTGCCCTTAATCATCACTCCATTTGTTGGCCCCTATATAAGCATATTTCTATAGATAAAAATTTTTCAAGTTGCTAAGAGTGTGTGTACTTGCTGGAGAGTTCGAGGAGGGGAGTGGTGAGTGAGAAAACATCCTTCAAGGGGAATAGCCACACAGCAGTCCATTCTCCTTCATTCTCCTCTCAGGATTTTGGACACATATGCATGTACCCATTATACTTTTCAAACCACTGGATCTGGGTCTTGAATCACACAGTTTGCCATGTGGGATCCAGCCAACTTAATGAACACACTAAAAGAATTATATTTCTTTCATGAAGTAGGACCAGGTACCCTTTATAAGGTCTCATCACCCCATAAATTACCCTCTTTCAATCTTTGTAATCACCTGGGAGTACGAATATTTGCATGTGCATGCCTGGCATGTTTCAGATCTGCCCAAGACCCTAACTACAGTCTTCCATGTGACTCTAGCATTATAGAGCAGTACATATCTCATACACTACTCTGGCTGGGCCTAAAGTTTTGTTTTTTAGACTACTGTATAGTTAGGACCAGTGGCTGGTTTGGTGGTTAAGGCACTCCCACATGGTTGTCCATGGTTTGAGTCCCAAACCTGGTGGCTTGCTTTCACTCTCTCTCTTTCTCACTCTCTCTGGTCAAATTAACTGAATGAATCAATAAAATTAAATAATTCTTTTGAAAAAAAATTGGGGGACCGGCAGGTGGTGTGGTAAAGCACTGGATCCCACATGACCAACTGTATGGTTCGAGTCCTGGACCCAGCAGCTTGAAACATACCAGACCTGTGCTTGTGCACATGCCCAAATTCCCACAAGGAAAATGGAGGAGGATTGCAGTGTGGCCATCCACTTTTCTCTGGTGAGTGTACACACACTGTAGTAAAAAAAAGAGGTAAAGAGAGAGAGAAAAGAAAATTTGTGTTCTGGCATAAAGCACTGAGTTGTATCTAATTGTGAAAGAAATACTGGTTGTCAGAAAAATAATGATGCATTTTGGTGTAGAAAAACAGGAAAATACATCATGACTTTTCAAATGGCCCAATACTTATGGATCTTTGAAAAGTGCAGAATGACCTCAAGAAAAAAAATTGTCCACAATGCTACAATCTAGAGAAAACACTTTAACATTGTGATATATTTCCTTCTTAATTTTTCCCTGTTAATGTATATAATCAGAGACTTAATATATTAAATAAAATTAGAGAGCTTTTGAGAGATTTTTGCCATAGGGCACATGCACTTTCTGAAGAAAGAGTCAGAAAGTGAGAAATCACCCCCCAGAGGGCAGCCATGCACAACCTTTTCTTCTCCATTTTCCTCCCAGGACTTTGAGCACTCACACACACACACCTGGTGTGAGTTTTAAATCCCCAAGTCCGGGACTCAAACTGCAGTTGGTCATGTCGGAGTCTAGCGACAACCATTACTCCATCTGCTGGTCCTGAGGATGTTATAATGTAAAAGTTTATCCTATTCATTTCTAAGTGTCATAGATATTTTTTAGTGACAGTAATCTGGATGCAGTTTCTTCACCCTAGTGGGGAAAAAAATTTCCCATATTACAGGTTTACTTAGTCACTTTAGGATATAGTCATTAAAAACAGATGGTCTTGGGTATGCAGAAAGTGGAAATTTTTCATAAGTAAGTCTAGAGTATTAGTAATGCTTTATTGTTCTGTTTCTGTTTTTTTTTTTTTTTTTCTCTTGTTTGATCCAGGGGTAGGGGCAGGTACGTGATAAAAGAAGCCACAGGTCCAGGACTTGAACCATGGTTGGCTATGTGGGAGTCCAGTGCCTTTAACCACCATGCCACATGTTGGCCCAGTAATGCATAATTTTAACTGTTTTCTAAAGTGTAAAGTTAGGACAGTTGTTCTCTTATCTAATTTTTGCTTTAGTAAAGATTAGTTCAAAGAGTGAATGAATGTTAATTGATGGCTCCATCATACTACTACGTTCCTTTCTGTTTTGTTTTTGTTTTTTTAAGTATTATTTATTTAATTCCTTTTGTTGTTACCTGAGGGAGACAGCGAAAAAGAGAAAGCAAAAAAAGCAAGCCTCCAGGTCTAGTACTCGAACTGTGGTCGGCCATGTGGAAGTCCAGCGCCTTTAACCACCATGCCATCTGCAGGGCTCTTCCTTCTGTTTTTATTAGCTCTTTGTCTTTCAGACTTCAGGCTTCCTGTGAAATGTCCTTTTTTTAAAAAAAAAGAATTAATCTTTAAACTGAGATATTAGAGAAATGATAACATCTCAGTTAAGGCTTTAAAATGCTATGCTCTTGGGGCTGGCAGGTGGTTAAGGGTGCTGGACTCCTACATGGTCGACTGCAGTTCGAGTCCAGACCTAGTAACTTGCTTTCTCACTTTCCCTCTCTCCTTCTCTCTCGCTCTGTCCCTGTCTGGTAAAATTTAATTAATAAATAAAAATTAAATAAAAATAATTTTTAAAAATTTAATAAATAAATAGGTAGATAAATAAATAAAGGCTATGCCCTCAAGTAATATAAAATAAATGACCAACTTCTTCGGAATGTGATACTTTGGAAGTTGTTTTGCGTCCTGTTCATGGTTGCTAAGAAACATTCAGAATAAAAATTTTATATACATAATTTTACCTGAAAGTGTACTTAACACAAAATATTCTATTTTCAGATATTTAGTCTTGGATATTGCAGATAATCCAGTTGAAAATATAATACGTTTTTTCCCTACGGTAGGTATTGATATCTTAATATCATTTTAAAAAATGTATTTGTGGTTTAATCTCTTGATAGTGGCTTTCAGACTTACTACTTTTTAGGGCTGGCTCTATGGCCTGATGGCCAAAGTGCCCAAATTCCACATGGTTGAGTCGAGATCCAGTGACTGAAGATAAAACACACCATGGGGGCCGGCAGGTGGTGCAGTGGTTAAGGATGCTGAACTACCGTGTGGCTGACTGTGGTTCAAGTTTTCATAGAAATGTTTTTTATGGTCTCCAAAAATTTGAGAAGTCACACTTCAGATGTGTTAAATTAAAATTAGACTTCCATATATATTTTTTAAAATTATAATCGAGCACATACTTATACACAAAATTAGGAAACTAGAGACAGAAAGGTGAGCACCCTCCATGGGTCTGGTCATGCTGTCATTCCTTACCTCCAGCCCCTTGGGCACTTGAGTGTTTCAGGCTTACTGGGGTGGGGATTCAAACCTTTGTTGCCATGTGGTATCTTACTTCTCTTGAGTAGCCAATTTACTTCTTTGGCACAGAGCCAGTCTTTCTGTATATTATTTATGGTAGTTGTAATAGCATCTGGAAATTCTTGAATTAAGATAATTCTTATTCATGTAAATTAATAGCAAGCTTTTCAGTAGGTTTTTTGTTTCACTGTATGAGTTTATTGTCTGCTTATGTTAATCCACATATTGTGTCCTAACACATTGTCTTCTGCTTTTAGACGAAAGAATTTATTGATGGGAGCTTACAAACTGGAGGTAAATATTTTACTTAGGAAATTTTTATTTTTAGGAGATTATTTGACACAGGCAGTTTTTTAAATTGGTGTTTGTTTTAAATGTAGGATGTGGAAGTATTGTAATTATTTTTCCCCATCTACTTCTTTTATTAAATAGGTCTTTTTAAATGACCCTACAGAGGGACCAGCAGATGGCATAATGGCTGTGTCGCTGGACTCCCATGTAGCCGACAGCAGTTTGAGTCCTAGATCCAGTGGCTTAAACTCACACCGGGCACGTGTGTGTGCATGCCCAAGATCCCTTGAGAGGAGAATGGAGGAGACAGGATTATGGCGTGGCCATCCTCCCAGGGGGTGATTTCTTGCTTTCTGTCTCTCTGTCTTTCTAGCGAGTGCACATGCCCTATAACAAAAACCTCTCCAAAAAATAAATAAATAACCCTGCAGAAGAACTCTTTTTAAACTCTTAGCTTTTAATTTCTTTAAACTTTTTTTTGTGATTTACAGTTAATTTAAATTATGTAAGACTTGAAATTTAAAAATATTCAAGTGATATATCTATCATATAAAATGTTTAAGGAAAGTTTTATTTTACTGTGGTTTTATAGGTGATGTTTAGTTCAGCCATTAAGTCAGGTGTTTTTCTATTAGAGTAACTATGTCTTGTTTTTCAGGAAAAGTTCTTGTCCATGGAAATGCAGGGATCTCTAGAAGGTATGAAGCTGGAGAGAAATCTTTCTTTTCCTGGCATTTAATTACTAAGGTGTATTTTCTGATATTTTTTTTTTTCTAAAAAGTTTTTTCCTCCCTCTTCAGTGCTGCCTTTGTTATTGCATATATTATGGAAACATTTGGAATGAAGTACAGGTAAGAAAGTACTTTAAAACCTGGCCACAAATTAAATTATTAATATTTTTTTAAGGATTATTTATTTATTTATTTCCATTTGTTATTGCTACTTTCTCTTTTTGACGAGAGAGAGAGAGGGAAAGGGAAATTGAGAAAGCAAGCTATCAGGTCCAGGACTTGAACCATGGTTGGCCATGTGGGAATCCTGCGCCCTCATTTACACCACCTGCTGGCCCCGACAAATTAAATTCTTATGAACATGAAACTGTCTTTATTTTTAAAATTTGCTGTGGGGTGATCAAACTTGCTGGAAACAGGGAGGGAGAGAAGGAAGAGAGAGAAAGTGAGAAGGCATCCCCACATGTGTATGCACATCCAGAATCTCATCAAGATGCTCAGACGGAGAAGCAATTTTGACACGAACATTCCCTCTGGAGTATGCTATCTTCCTGTCCTCTGTTTTTGTCTCTGGGAAGCACCCTCTTGTGAAATTTTAAAAATTTCTTAGGAAAACATTTGAATACATGTTTTGTTTATGTGATTACAAACTTATTTAACATGTATTGATGAACTTTGCACTTCGTATATTCTTCTTATTATTTAGAAACTTGTCAGTAATGATAATACAGTGAAAATACAGTTTCCATTTATTGAGTCTCTGCTATGTGCCCACTACTATTCTAGGCACATTGAATTCAGTTAAGTCTCATAACAACAGAAAGAAGTATATATCCTTCTCGTTTAACCAGGGTTAGTATTTTGATCATGTACTGTAAGCACAAAGTACCTTATCTCCCACCTTCTTAACAGTTCTCCAAGATAGGTGTTACTGTACTTGTCATTTTACCTGACCATGCTTTTCTCCTACAATTCACTATTCACCTGTAGGGTGATGGTGTACAGTCCTAATTTTTATTAAGTTATGATGTTAGGTAAAATTTGGGAAACTTTAGAATAATTCATGAAATAACACCATAATATTTTCTTATTCTGTTTTCAGAGATGCATTTGCTTATGTTCAAGAAAGAAGATTTTGTATCAATCCTAATGCTGGATTTGTCCATCAACTTCAGGTGACTTCTCTTTCTCTTTAAGGAGAGTCAGAAAGTAAGATAAAATACTTTGGTAATGTAACTTAGATGTAGAATATACTCTGTGAATGCTTTCAGTTACCATAATCAAACTTCATTTGTTTTTTCTTTTTAGTCTTTATTTTTGTTTCCTTTTTGTTTAATTCTCATGAAATAGGCTAAGATTTGTGGAATTTGTTTTCAGAACTGATTGTCTCACATTAACCTGTTTCCCTCTGATTTTTTTCCTATAATAAATACAGTAATTCTTTCCCAAACATCTTAAGAGTTGTGAGAATTAAATTGATTCATAGAAAGCAGTTTGAATAATGTCTAGCACATAGTGTTGTCACAAATAATATCTCCAATGTCATTTGATTTTTCAACAATGTCTAAAAAAGTATTGAAAGCTCTGCTGTTGCCAAGTAGGGGTTAGAGACTCGTTGCTAAATCTAAGGTAAAATAATCGATATTGGAAAGTTACTCAGGGACCAGCAATAAGCGTAATGGCTATGTCACTGGATTCCCACGTAGTCTACCGCGGTTCGCGTCCCAGACCCAGTGGCTTAAAACTCACGCCGGGCGCGTGTGCGTGCGTGCCCAAGATCCCAAGAGAATAGAGGAGAAGGGATTGCAGTGTGACCATCTTCCCTGGGGGGGTGATTTCTCGCTTTCTGTCTCTCTGTCTCTCTCTGTCTGTCTGGCGAGTGCACGCGCCCTATAGCAAAAACCTCTCCAAAAAAAAAAAAGGAAGTTACTCATTTTTATCTCTATTTTGATCACAAACAGACCACTGTTTACTTATTCTATGTATTTTATCCTTCCCATGATTCACATTTTGTTGATGAGAGCTCACCCCCAGGGAAGATGGCTGTCCCACAGTCCTTTCTCCCCCATTTTCCACTCAAGATTTTGGGCTCACACACACATGAACCCACTATATTTTTTAAGCTACTGGATCCAGGATTCAAACTATGCAGTCACCTATCTGGTATCCAGCTGACTTAACCACCATGCTAGTGGTAACACTGGCCCAGTACCATTGGGCCTAGTAATATGTTTCTGTTCTGATTTATAAATGTGTACCTAAAATATGAATAATGAAAAGTTAAACACAAGTTATATGAATCAGCTTTTCTGTTCTGTGATATTTAGGAGCTTACTGCCTGCAGCTTATGAAAGCACCCAGTTAACTCAGGAACAAATGAGATGTCACTTACCTTAAAAAATGTGTAATTTGGGGGGATCAGCAGTTGGTATAATGACTCTTTCGCTGGACTGTGATGTAGTCAACCACAGTTTGAGTGCTGGACTCAGTGTCTTAAACTCATACTGGGCATGTGTGTGTGTGTGTGCCCAAGATCTCAAGAGAAGGGATTGTGGCGTGGCCATCCCCCCCTTGGGGGGTGATTTTTCACTTTCTGTCTCTGTCTTTCTGGCGAGTGCACGCGCCCCATAGCAAAAACCCCTCCCAAAAAAAAAAAAGGAAGTTACTCATTTTTATCTCTATTTTGATCACAAACAGACCACTGTTTACTTATTCTATGTATTTTATCCTTCCCATGATTCACATTTTGTTGATATCTGACAGATGCACTGATAAAAACAGTAGTAGTATAAACCTGTGAATTACCTTACTGAATCAGGTTATTATTTTTATGTTTTGTTTTATCAATTTTGTTGCTATATTTGGTTAAAAAAAATCAAGTTAGGTTTTTTTAGTTTTATGTTACAGGGCACATGGGGTTGACAGAGAGAACCTATACTCACACCCTGCAGTGGGAGAGATGGCCACTCTGTAATCTCTTCATTCTTTTGGGATTTTGGGCATGCACACACATGCACACGCACGCACATGCACATGCACATGCCTGGCTTGTTTCTCAAGTGCTTAGGACAGTTAAGCCAAGTGGAAACCAGTGCTTTAACCACCACACCACCTGCTGGCTCTGTCCTACTTTCTTTTAATGAAAATAACAGATTCACTTTTGTTTATCATTTTATCTCATACTATAGGTTTGTTTTTTTTTATCTTAAATGCTTTTTTTTTTTTTTAAGAGAAAGATTTTCTGCTGTAGAGTGTGCGTGCTCACTGGAGTGACAGAGAAAGTAAGAAATCAATCCCCAGGGAGAATGGCCACATGCAGTCCCTTCTCGTTTCTCCTTCTGGGATTTTGGACACATACACACACATGCCCAGTGTGAGTTTCAAGTCACCCGGTGCAGGACTTGAACTGCAAACAGCCATGTGGGAGTCTAGTGCCTTAACCACTACAGCACACTTAATTGTGGTGATACATTCTGAGAAATACATCATTAGGAGATTCTTGTCATTGTGCAAATATGATAGAATGAGCTTACACAAACCTATATGATACAGCCTACTGTGCACCTAGGCTGCATCTTCAAAACCATTGTATAGATTATCTCTTATGTCTTCATAAATTTTTAAAGAATTGTTTTATTAATTAATTAATTATTCAATTTGACCAGAGAGAGACATAGTGAGAGAGGGAGACACACAAAGCTGCCAGGTCCGGGACTTGAACTGTGGTTGGCCATGTGGGAATCCAGCACCTCAACTACCACAAAGATGCCAACCCCCCCCCACCTTTACAGATATTTTCATATTGTTACCTCCTATTACTCAAGAGCTTTAAATAGTACTGAGAGGCTGGCAGGTGGCATGGTGGTTAAGGGCATTGTACTCCCACATGACCAACCATGGTTTGGGTCCTGGACCTGGCAGCTTGCTTTCTCACTTTCCCTCTCTCTCTCACTCTGTCCCTCTCTGGTCAAATTAAAATAAATAAAGTTAAAATAATAATTTTTTAAAAAACTAAATAAATAATACCAATAAACAGAATCATCTATATACATTATCTGCTATATATCTCTAAATTATGACTTTTTTTTTTTTTTTTTTGGTTTTTGCTATAGGGCGCATGCACTGCCAGAAAGACAGAGATAGAAAGCGAGAAATCAACCCCCAGGGGGTACGGCCATGTCGCAATCCCTTCTCCTCCATTCTCTTGTAGGGATCTTGGGCACGCACGCACACGTGCCTGGTGTGAATTTAAGCCACCAGGTCAGGGACTCAAACCGTGGTCGACTACATGGGAGTTCAGCAACATAGCCATTACACTAACTGCTGGTCCCTCTAAATTAGGACTTTTTATATTGTTTAAAATGTTTATATCCAATTTTGTAACCTTATTCTTTATTTCATCCTTAATTCTGCATTTTAACCGATCCTGTTACTTTTCCCAGCTTCTTTATTCGATTCCTAAAGTTTGACTTTGAGCTTTTTTTGTTTGTTTTTCTTTTGTTTTATTTTGCCAGCGGGCATGTGCACACACCAGAGATAGAACGAAAGTAGGGCACTCACCCCATTCAACCCTGGCACAACACAGTCCCCCTTTCCTCCACTCCTCCTTTCCGGTAGGATTCTGGGCCCATACACCTAGTTTGTTTTTCAAGCTGCTGGGACTGAGATCTTAACCACTTTCTCTGTGGGATCCAGCAGAGTACTTAATAGGGCTGATCCATTGCACATTCTTTTTTTCTTTTTGAGAGTTTTGTTTTGCTATAGTGTGTGTGCACTAGCTGGAGAGACAGAAAGTGATAAATCACCCTCCTGGGGAGCTGGTCATGCTGCGATCCCTTCTCCTCCATTCTCCTCTCAGAATTTAGGGTACACATTCACACATACCTGACCAGAGTTTCAAACCACCAGGTCTGGGACTTGAACCACAGTCAGCCATGTGGGAGTCCAGCACCTCAACCATCACACCACCTGCTGGCCCTACACATTACTTTTTTTTATTAGTAGTATTCTTGCTAGAGGGCACATGCACTCACTGGAGAGAGAAAGCAACGTACACCCCCCCACACACACACACACAGCTTGGCACAATCCTTTTTCCTCCATTTCTCCATCTGGTTAGGATATGGAGCATCTGTGTAACCACACCCATTGTGTTTTTCAAGCTGCCTGGGACAGGATTCAAGCTGCTGTCAGTCATGGGGAGATCTAGCTCCTAGGGCTCAGCAACCACTCTGGTATAGTGTCGGCTCGAGCATTATTTTTAAAAGTTTATGGAAACTGGGGACCAGCAGTTAGCGTAATGGCTATGTTGCTGGACTCCCACGTAGTCAACTGCGGTTCGCGTCCTGGACCCAGTGGCTTAAACTCACGCTGGGCGCATGTGCGTGCGTGCCCAAGATCCTGAGAGGAGAATGGAGGAGAAGGGATTCAGCGTGCCCATCCCCCCTGGGGGGGGATTTCTCACTTTCTGTCTCTATTGTCTCTCTCTGGCTTTCTGGCGAGCACACGCATCCTATAGTGAAAAACCTCTCAAAAAAAAAAGTTTATGGAAATTGGTAAATATACCTTAGCTTAAGAGACTGCATTCTCCAGAGACAGAGAAACATAGGGAAAGTGAGAAAGCCCTCTCCCCCCCTTTTTTTTTTTTTTTTACTTTTTCTCATGTGGCTTCGTATACCTACCACGATGCTAAATATTTAAATCCAAGGGCATACTAATTAAAAGTTTTTTTCTCTCTCAGATGACTTGATTTAGCAAGTACGTCAAGTGTTGTATAGGCAAATGTAAGGTATTTTTAACATTTAATATAAATTTTATTTATACATTTATTTTTTAAAAATTTGACTGGAGAGAGACACACAGAGAGAGAAAGTGAAAAGGCAAGCCGGTAGGTCCGGGACTCAAACCTTAGTCAGCCAGGTAAGAGCTTCTAGACCTTAACCACCATACCACCTGCTGGCCCCAAATGTAATATATTTTATTAGTCTCATTCTTGTTGGGCCAGCCCCATTGCCTGGTTAAGTGAGCAGTTTTAATTCTGGATCCTGCAGCTTGAAAAAAACAGCAGACATCTGTGCGTACATGCCCAAAATCCCAACAGGAGGGAAAAATGGAGGAGAAGGAATTGTGGTGTGACCATGTCCCTGTGGCGCTACTCTGTTTTTTTCCTGAGTCTTTGTTCCCCCTTGAAACTTGAGACTCGATTCAAGCCTTTCATTGTTTCAGGAAAGATTTCTATTTTTTTTTTCAATAACTACTTTATTCATTGTCATTATTTTTATTTAATATATTTTTGAAGTTGACTAGAGAGGGACAGAAAAGGAAAGTGAGAAAGCAAGCTGCCAGGTCCGAGGCTTGAACTTCAGTCAGTCATGTGGGAGTCCAGCCACCTTAACCACCACGCCACCTGCTGGCCCTCTATTATGTATTGATATTTGACTTTGTTCTCGCTTGATATCCCCTTGGATCTAGTTTTTGGTAGTTCCCTTTTGTCTTCCATATCGAATATTCTCTGTAATTATTCTCAGCTGTGTCTTTTATTTATTTTTAAGAGTTATTTTAACTTTATTTATTCATTTATTTTAATTTGTCCACAGAGGGATAGAATGAGAGAAAGTGAGAAAGCAAGCTGCCAGGGCCGAGACTAGAGCCATAGCTGGCCATGTTGGAGTCCATTGCCCTTAACCACCATGCCACCTGCCAGCCCCAATTGTCTTTTTTTCTATATTTTTTCTTAATTTTTCTCAAACTTTCCTTCCCTTTTATTTTGTGTATGCATTTGGCACTGTTCCAGGCACTGGCGATTAAGCAGAGAAAATAGCAATCCCTCACCTCATGGAATGTATTCTAGTGAGGGAAATCATAACAAAGTAAAACGTAATAGGTCACGGGTCTGAGGAAAAAGTCCATGTAAGGAGAGAGGAGCTTAAAAAAAATAACTTTTGTACTGAGAAAGTGGTATTTGGGCAAGAACCTGCTGAAATCATGTACACAATCATGGGAAGAAATTCCGTCTATATCCTAGGTAGAAATAACCAACGCGTATGCTTTGATGTGGGAGCTATGGATTATTTTCAAGGGAATTGTGACAATGTTGGTATGACTGGAATTGAGTAAGCAAATGGGATAGTAGGGGATAGATCTGAGAGATAAGAGGCCACATTTAGACGTTTATAGGTCACCATAAGTGAAGTCTTTGACATAAAGTGAAGGAATGATGTCTTCAAACAAGTTATTTCTGGCTACTATGTTGAGTACAGGCTGTAAAGAGAGTTGGGGGCAAGGGCGGAGACAAGTAGACCACAATTAGAAGGCTATTGTAATTATCCATTCATAAGAGAAGATTAGTTTGGACCAAAGTATTTCATGGAAAGAGGTGAGAGCAGATTCTGAGGTTTTTGTTTCCTTACTTATTTTTAACCTTAAAATGCTGAAACTGGGTGAGATCAGTAGAAGAGAGAGTATAGATAGAAAAGAATTTCAGAGACAGAATCCTAACTAGGTACCTCAAACACGTAGAGGTGGGGAAATGAAAAAATTAGCAAGAAAGGTAGAGAAGGAGCAGCCAGTAAAGTAGGAAGAGAAATGAAGATTGGGGTGTCAGGTGAAGAATAAAGTGTTTGAAGGAGGGAAAGATCTACTATTTGTCAAAGACTTGATAGTAAGTGGGAACCAGCAGTTAACGTAATGGCTATGTCGCTGGATTCCCACGTAGTCGACTGCAGTTCGTGTCCCGGACCCGGTGGCTTAAAATTCACGCCGGGTGTGTGTGCATGCGTGCCCAAGATCCTGAGAGGAGAATGGAGGAGAAGGGATTGCGGCGTGACCATCCCCCCTGGGGGGTGATTTCTCGCTTTCTGTCTCTCTGTCTCTCTCTGTCTGTCTGGCGAGCGCACGCGCCCTACAGGAGACAAGTAGACCACAATTAGAAGGCTATTGTAATTATCCATTCATAAGAGAAGATTAGTTTGGACCAAAGTATTTCATGGAAAGAGGTGAGAGCAGATTCTGAGGTTTTTGTTTCCTTACTTATTTTTAACCTTAAAATGCTGAAACTGGGTGAGATCAGTAGAAGAGAGAGTATAGATAGAAAAGAATTTCAGAGACAGAATCCTAACTAGGTACCTCAAACACGTAGAGGTGGGGAAATGAAAAAATTAGCAAGAAAGGTAGAGAAGGAGCAGCCAGTAAAGTAGGAAGAGAAATGAAGATTGGGGTGTCAGGTGAAGAATAAAGTGTTTGAAGGAGGGAAAGATCTACTATTTGTCAAAGACTTGATAGTAAGTGGGAACCAGCAGTTAACGTAATGGCTATGTCGCTGGATTCCCACGTAGTCGACTGCAGTTCGTGTCCCGGACCCGGTGGCTTAAAATTCACGCCGGGTGTGTGTGCATGCGTGCCCAAGATCCTGAGAGGAGAATGGAGGAGAAGGGATTGCGGCGTGACCATCCCCCCTGGGGGGTGATTTCTCGCTTTCTGTCTCTCTGTCTCTCTCTGTCTGTCTGGCGAGCGCACGCGCCCTACAGTGAAAATCTCTCCAAAAAAAAAAAAACTTGATAGTAAGTTAAATGAGAGAGATTGAGAATTGATACTCCATTAGAGACCTGTGGTTATTGGGATCCTTGACATAGTTTTTGTGAGTATGAGGGATAAGCATAATTACAGAGAAGCAAGAGAAAATAGGAGAAATTCTAGCAAGAATAAACAATTCTAGGAATTTTCCTTTGAAAGAGAAAAACAGGTAACTGATGGAGAACTTAGAGGGAGTTTTTGTTTTCTAGGATGGGATGAGGTATAATGTATCTTTATGCTGATTACAACAATCAGAAGAAAGGAAAAAAATTGCTATTTTGCCAGAATTGCATAATATGGCCAGTTCTCTTCTTTGTTGATTTCTCTTAACTCATTATTTCTGTGGTTTGTATATTTTATTTCTTTCTCCCATTTTCTTGTTTAGCTTGAATACTTAATGTTATCTCCTGGTGTTATATTTCTTTGTCATGTTTCTTTTAGGAGACCTTTTATCTCTTCTTTGAACTCATTTCAGAAGTGCCATTGTCTTAGCTCTGACTTCTATACAAAATACTATAGAATGGGCAGCTCATGTAACACGTGCATTTTTTCGTCATTCTAGAGCTTAGGAAGTTCAAAATCAGTAGGCTGCTGATTCATTTCATAGCAAGGGTCAGTCTCTGCCTTGTAGATAGCCGTCTTCATGCTGTCTTCACAAGGTTGGGGTAGGGAGAACTTTGATCTCCCTACAGGGGTACCAATCCCATCATCAGGGCTCCACTTTCTTGGCCTCATCTAAACCTAATTACTTCCCAAAAGGCCCCACTTCTTAATGCCATCATATTGGAGGGTAGGACTTCAACATAACAATTTTGGGGGGAATGCAAACATTCTCATAACAGTCATACTTGCTTTGATTTCATATACAATTTATAATTTTTATCTGCTTCATGATGTAATTTTCATGGTGTTCTTTTGAATCTTTTGTTTATAACACTGCTCCTTTTTTTTTTCTTGAAACATCTTTTCTTCCATCCTACAGATTACTTTTATTATTATCTGTTGGTATTATCTATTGATTTTTTTACTGTGAGTGTTCTTAGATGAGCTGTTTGCTCAGGAATAAAGTTGTGGGAGAGGGGCCAGAGGAATGGTTGAGGAAGGCAGTTAGCTTGAATTTTCTCAGTTGTCTTGAAAGATTTTTCTCACCAACACTTTTTTCTTGGTGGCATGAGTCAGCAAGTATATGGCAGAGTTCCTTATGTTGTAGGTCTGTTTTGTTTCAGTTGATAAATATTGGATGCATATTAGAATCACCAGTGGGGTCTGGGTGTGTACGTATTAATTAATTTTATTTATAATTATATATTTTTTAAATTTGGTACTGGGCATGTGTGCTCACCAGAGAGAAAGTGAAAGCAAGCCACCGGGTCTAGGACTCCAACCTGGTTGGCTATGAGGAATCCAGCTCTTTAACCACCATGCCACCTCCTGGTCCAAAGAGAAGCTTTTTGTGTTTTTTTTTTTTTTTTTAATTCTTTTTATTTTAACTTTATATATTATTATTTTGTTGTTGCTTTTAATTTGACCAATGAGAGACATATATATATATATAGAGAGAGAGAGAGAGAAAGTGAGTCCCCACTTTTGGCACTCGAACCACAGTTGGTCATGTGAGAGTCTAACACTTTTATTTAGCTTTTTTTAAAGCACTTGTTAGCATTTAATGAAACTCTACATGTGGCTTCAAGCCACAAGGACACAAGCACCCCCCCCACGCTTAATCTTCTCAAAAAATGAAGAATTTGGCCTTCCCGGTGACAGGCTGCTTCGGGAGCTTTCCTTTCCCCAGAACTTTGTAGTAGCCCGATCGCCCTACAGCAATGATGGGAGCTACTCCAGTCTTGTTTCTGGCTGCATTTCCCCATGTCTGCTCACTGACCAAGGTCTACAATTTATCAAGGTTAACAGTTGGGCAGCTCTGGTTCCTCTTTAAGTGGTATCAACTTTCCCAAAGTAACCTGGGTAGTATTTGTCGAAGTTGATCCTGTGGTGATGCATGCCACCAGCATTACCCTGGCCTCCGGGATGCGTCAGGGCTTGCTGATGCGGCCTTGGCCGTGGCTTACGTGGCCTCGAAGTTTCCGGGTCTTCCTGAGTCTGGATGGCATGTCGGCGACCAAGAAGAAAGAGCAAGTCAACACTTTTAACCACCACATCACCTGCTGGCCCCCAGAGAGAAATTTTAAACCTTTATTTTTTAAAAATAATATGGCACTAGATTTTTCAGTGTAAACTTAAGAATATTAGTGACATATTAATCACTGCTTTGGGTTTCCAAAAAGTGTAAATGCATATTCACATTAATTAAAATATTTTTTAGGAATATGAAGCCATCTATTTAGCAAAATTAACAATACAGATGATGTCACCACTTCGGATAGAACAGTCATTATCTGTTCATTCTGGTACCACAGGTAAGGATTTGTTTTGTTTCTTTTTGGAGAAAGTTGGGGATAAAGGTAATGATTAGATGGGTAGAAAGAAACTCAGTACAAGTTTCACTGAGCAATTTAAATTGTTGAGAAAACTTGGGTTAAACTATTGAATTAAAGTAAGATAATATCTAAAGGCTTAAATTTTATAATATATGTGTGTGTTATAATATGCTGCTGTGTGTATACCACTGTGCCTAGTCATTTGAGTATTCTGGTTGGAAGATCAGGTATCTATTTAGATTATTATTTTTAAGAATTAATTTTGAGGGACCAGCAGTTAACGTAATGGCTATGTCACTGGACTCCCATGTAATCGACCACAGTTCGAGTCCCGGACCCGGCTGTTTAAACACATGGCAGGTGCATGTGCATGCGTGCCCAAGATCCCAAGAGGAGAATGGAGGAGAAGGGATTGCGGTGTGGCCAACCCCCCCAGGGGTGATTTCTCACTTTCTATCTCTCTGTCTCTCTCTCTCTCATCTTTCTGGCAAGCGCACGTGCCCTATAGCAAAAACCTCTCCAAAAAAAAATAATTTTATTTTATTTATTGATGATAATTTTGAGAAAGATTTTTGTTATAGGCCATGTGCACTCTCCAGAGACTGCCATACTCATAAGGCTGTCAGATCCTTTATTTATTTATTTTTTTAAGAGAGATTTTTGCTATAGGGCCCGTGTGCTCACTAGAGACAAGAAATCAAGAAATCACACCCCCCCTCAGGGGGAATGGCCACAACTGCAATTAATTCTCCTCCATTCTCCTCTTGGGATTTTAAGCACACATGCACATATGCCCAGCATGAGTTTTAAGCCACCAGGTCTGTGACTCAAACCACGGTCTACTTTATGGGAGTCCCAGGTAGCTTATGCCATTAGGTGGTCCCCAGATTTTAATTTTCTAGTTACCGTGGGGACTCTTCTTTACTTGACTACTTCTATTTAATCACTTCTCAAATCCTAATGTTTCTTCCGTGGCTTTAAGATTTTGTCCCAATTTTTATAACTCCCATAATCTCAGTCTATTGGCTCATCAGAAAAAGTCAGAACATATTTTTCTGTTTTTCTATGCAAAAAATGTGTCAGGACTTTCTGACGACCCAATAGTTCAGGTCCATAATCTATAGTGAAACATAAACTTCATATTGTAATCTGTCCTCTGCAACCTTTAGGATATAGATTTAAGTCAAGCCATTCTTAGCCAAAAAAATAAAAAATAGCACTTCTAAAGGTTTTCTCCATTAAGAGTCAGATTTCTTGACTATAACTGTTGGACCTACATGGATGGCTTTGATTCTATGAGGGAAATTTCTGCACTAGCATACTCTGAAATGAATAGACAGACTATCTTGCTATATGACTTCTTTTCTCCCAGCCTTGACTTGTTGCTAATAAAACCACAGCTTGGGTTGGAAACCATTTTCAGCTGCCCTTCATAAACAGCATCAGTGATAGCAAAAAAAAAAAATTACCTACAAAAAGATTGTACTAATATAAGATTACCTTAAAATTTTATGCTCTAAGTCACATGTTTTGGTGTCTAAATAGCATAAACCAAAGAATTTTTTTATTTAACTTTATTTATTAGTATCATTAATATTTTCCAGTTTGATTAGAGAGAAAGCAAGCCACCAGGTTTGGTGGCTTGTTAAAAAATTTTGAGCCATTACCTCTTTAAAAGCTCTATTTTAAGGGGCCAGCAGTTACATCACTGGACTCCCACATGGCCAACAGTGGTTGAGTTCTGGACCTGGTGGTTTGAAACTCTCACCAGGCACATGTGTGTGCATACCTAGATTCCAGAAGGAGAATAGAGAAGAAAGGATTGTGGCATGGCCATTCCCTCTGAGGGGTGATCTCTCAGTTTCCCTTTCACTGTCTCTGTCTATTTCACTGTCACAAGTACATGAGCTCTAAGGCAAAAACCTGTGAAAAAAAGTTCTGTTTTCACAGTATTTAAAAAATTAATGTTAATTATAAGCCACACCTAAAACTTTGAACTTAAAACTCAGATCCTTTTGTGAAGATAAAAAATTATTTGGGTAATTTAAATGAAAGGATTTATTATTCCCAGGTGTGTTGACACACACTGCTTAGATATTATGCTTTGGAAGCTGACAACACATGGGAGGCTTGGGTTTGATTCCTGGTTCAACCAAAGGCCAAGCGTGGTGGCAGGCTTTTGTAATCCTACCTGCTAAGGAGGCTGAGACATGAAAAAAAAAAAAAAGTACTAATTTGTCATAAATTCTGTTACAGAATTTTTAATGTATGACATGGTATCATATAAAAAAACAACTTTTACCTGCTGTGACATTCTAACATGAATTTCTGTTCCCATGTTATGTTCATAAAATAATTTCTAGGTAGTTTGAAGAGAACACATGAAGAAGATGATGATTTTGGAAGCATGCAAGTGGCAACTGCACAGAATGGCTGACTTGAGCAAGGTGTGAATTTCTACATGGGAAAAAGAAACTACTGGAGACAATAATGGAAAATTGTAAAGACACAAGTAGTTTCTTTACATTTTTAGGTTGCTTCCAGACATGTTCTTCTGCAACTTGTTGAGCATCATTTTAAGAAAATGTTGGACTTCTCCAATAGATGACACTGGCGGGGCTTTTTTTTTTTTTAAAGGAAAAAACACACACACACACTTTACAGTTTTATTATAAACCAAGATTTTTGGACTTGCAAAGAGGTATTAATTGCAATAATGCACTTTTCATACTTGAAATTTATTTGTATAATATAAAGTTATTACTTTAAACAAAATGCAAGTTGGGGGATTGTTTATAAAGCTTGGGTAATTTATAACATGAATTTCCTAAGGTTTGCTAAAAATTCATTTTGTGTTATATATATTACATTTTTAAGATAATTTTACAGTTCAATTTTATGATGGAACCTCTTACAGAAACATTAACAAAATGCAGGAATCTGCCCCCCCCCCTTTTTTTGTATAATTTAGTAGCTTAATTGGATTTTTAAAAATTCTAGATCCCGAATTACCACTTTTTAAATCATGACATTAGCCAACTATCCTTACTTTAACATGATCCAAATACTGCTTGCTTACCCTTTCTACTTTGTTTACTCTAGAGGGAAAAAAGGTTTAATGATCAAAGGAAGATATTTTGCCTTATAGTACCACATGCTCAAAAACAAGAATAGTGTGAGATTTCCAAGTGATTTTCCTTTTTTTTTTTTTGTTTTTCTTTTTGGTAAGAGCCAAATGTTGTGTTTGTTTTCAGAGTTGCCTAGACCTTTTTTGTTTGTCCAGAATGGTTCTAAATAGAATATAATAAACCAATGTAGCACTATTTTTGTCCTGAATGAAACCCCCCCCAAAAAAGTGCCTTGCATCATTTAAAAAGAAAAATGTTAAATCCTCGTGACCTCTAAATTAGTATGTAGAGTAGTGAAAACTTCATAATATTTTTCTGTAATTTCTTTTCTTTTTAAACCACAAATTAATTTAAACTGAAAAGTATGAGGCTTGAAGAAATCTTAGTAAATTATTTGTAGTATGGAATATTTACTCCTTTGTTTTATGTTGTCTTAATGATTCTGTGAGGTTGTTCCAGTTCAGACAGAAGCTTTTCTTTGAAGATGCATTTGCTGGGGAAAGTGATTTCTGGGGTATTTTAAATTACCATTTTAATCAATTCTTTACATTGAGTTAATACAAATTTCCCCTATGATTTGCATTAGCAGTGTCACTTTATCTATCGATGTTATATTTATATGTATAAAGTTGTCCTAAGAAAAACATTTTTACCATTTTAAGTATGTTGTATGGGAAGAGGGGAGTGTGTACCTTTTTATAGTTAGGACTTTAGGGTAGCACAAACAAAACTCCTTCCATATCTCACTTTTCTCAGTCCTCTCTGGAGGTGCTTTTCTAATGGGAATGATTTCTGTACATTCCCTTGGTACCAAGAGGTACTCTGCAAGGTAACCTAATACACCAACTTACTTGCTTTGTTTCCCTCCATGTGATACAGTAATACAGTAAAAGCTTTTGTTAACTAGCATAGTGGGAAAGTGGAAAGAAATTCAAATTGCTCTATTAATTACGAGTTCATTTCTGTTCACCCGGGTGGTAATTACTCTTCTGCTTTTCCTTCCCTTCTATTTTACCCCCTGAACACAGCATATTGTTAACCCTGTTGTGGTCCAGTATTGTGTGAGTAGGTCATTTGATATATTGGTCTAGTGGAGTCAAGATTTGCATTGGGTGTTCGAAAATTCAGTTGGTAAAGTATTGGTACAGCCTTCCTGTATATAGATCACCACTGGGTAGGTCAGCAGAGGTCTCTCTTTCAGTCTAATAATAATCCATTCATATTCAGCAGAAACAATGCTTTAAAGATTCTTCATAGTATATTTAAGTTTTAAAAATGAGAGTTAGGATTTTTTAAAATTAGTTTCATAAGTACACATATCCTCTCTAGTAGTCTGGCCAAAAACACAGGTTTGGTTATTGATATTAACTTATAGCTAGTTTTTTTTTTTCCACTCTTAACCACTATAATTTTTACGTCATCACTAAAGTGCCTGTCCAGCACTGTATATCAAATAGTCTCTCACAAACACGAGAAAAAGGGACTGTTATCTTCAGTACAATATTAACTTGGACAGAACATGAGGTTTATTCTCTCTCATATAAGAATATTACAAATCTGTTTTCTCTTGGACCTGTTTGTCCACTGAATGTTAAGTAGTTTTTACTCTATTTGGTTCCATTTCTGTGATTGCTTTATTTCTACTAATGTTTTATGATAGCTAACTATGATAAATATAACCAATCATGGTTTATTTTCTAGAATATCTGAATAATGTATGAGTAACCAACCAGTTTTAATATGTATGTAATATGGGTGCAGAATTTAATTAAATTACATCAAAATATAATGCAGGAAAACTACATTACTGTCCAGTTTGAAAGTACAAAACAAATATTGAGAATACTCAAATCAGAAGAGTATTCTAACCTTCTAATTTTGGTTAATTTCTTACCTGTTGTTTAAATAGCAGTTAACTTTATTTGTATCTACTTTATGGTGGAAATGTTAAATTGTGATGCTGTTGCTGCCAACTTTCAAACACTTAATTCTCCGAGCAGAATGTTCATTTGGAGGAGTATTTTGTGCTTCATTTGAGTTTAGACCGTAATGACAGAAAATGTTAATAAGCATGTCCTTTTAAGAAAATAGAAGGTTTCTAATTGTCTTATTACCATGGCAATTCAAGTGAATTAGAAGTATTTTAACTGCAGTCTTGAATTATAAAGTTGAGATATATGTATCAGGATCTCAACTTGATGTAAAGTAAATGAGCAGTTACCTGGCGGATTTACATTTTTTTAAAATAACCATTTAAATCCATAATCTCATAACAAAGTAGCTTTACTTCAATATTTACTTTATCTTTGTCCACTCAACAGTGCTTCAGTAAGATGATAAGAGATAGCTGAAAATCACTAAAAGATTTTATTTTTATTGATCAGAAAACTTTTTATGGTCTTGGAATGCTGGATTATTTTTTGTCTTTCCCATCCATGGCAGCTAAAAAAATAAAATCACTCAAAATGTTCAGGTTTACATGCTAGCTCTCTCTCATAGGGAGTTGCCATACCTCACAGTTCAAAGTGTATTCTATAGATCAGTAACATTATACTGACATGTAATTGCAATTTACTATGCAGCAAAAATGATTCAAGAAGAAAAATAACCTACAGTGTCTACTTACCTTTGTATAGGCAATTGCTTAAGTTACTCTGCTTGTAACATTTGTACTTGGATACAATGCTGATGTATGTATGTATAGCAATGTCACAGTGTAAGATGCTGCTAGCCCAGGCACAGAGTATTAAAATTATTTTGTGAAGATTGGTGGTTGTATTAAAACTATTGTGCCATTATACCTCAAAAAGGTTGAAAAACTTATTCATACTGCTTATTCCTCAGAACTTCTCTACTTAGGTTGTTATCTTCTGGGTAAATAAAAGTAACCCAATTTTACTTCCACAAATTAGGAAGAATGAATGAACATTTGATATTAAGGAACCCTTAAGGGGTATCCTCTAAGGGGCCAGCAAGCAGGTAGTGGGTGGTAGTGGGTGGTTAAGGTGGCTGGATTCCCACATGGCTGACCACAGTTGTAGTCCTGGACCCAGTGGCTTGAAAAATCATTCTGGGTGCATGTGCGTGTATGCTCAAAATCCTGAGGGGAGAATGGAGAAGGAACTGAGGCTTGGCCATTCCCCCTGGAAGGTGATTTCTCCCTGTCCTCACTCCTCCTATCTGGTGAGTGCATGTGCTCTAATGGCACAAACCTAAAAAAAGGCAAAACAAAAAAAACAATATCCTCCTAAACAGTGTGGTCACATATAGAAAAAAAATACAGTCAACAGTTCATGGAAGCTCCAAATTCCAACTCGAATATATTTTTAAGGATTAACTGAGCAGGTCTGGAGTTGGAAGTGAGAGAATTCATGTCTGAAGAAATGGCAGGTCATCCATAGAACGGCTTGCAGCTCTTTAAAAATACTTCTTGCTTTGAGTAATACACTTTTCCCTCTCTTAGCCACTTATATACTATGCTTTATCAAATCTAAGATTATGTCACAATTACATGCTAAAAGGCAAAATGTTACTATACTAGGACAATTCATTAATGAATACATCTATATTTTAGTGCTGTTACAATGTATCTTAAAGTGAATGAAATGTAAATATAGAACATATGGGACATAGTAAAAATCACAACTGTTACTTCACTATACCTTTTTTTTTTTTTTTTTTTTTTTTTTGAGAGAGATTTTTGCTACAGGGCGCGTGCGCTCGCCAGAGAGAGACATAGAGACAGAAAGCGAGAAATCACCCCCCAGAGACTTCACTATACCTTTTCAAAGAAAAAAACAGAAATGTGAATATATTCAACAGCTTATAGTATTTTATTCAACTTTTCTTCATACACGTTTACTCACAGTGTGGCTTAGAAAATCATAAAACAGGGACCAGCAGTTGGCGTAATAGCTATGTCACTATGTAGTCGACTGTGGTTCAAGTCCCGGACCCAGTGACTTAAACTCACGCCAGGCGCATGTGCGTGCATGCCCAAGATCCCCAGAGAATGGAGGAGAAAGGACTGCTGCATGGCCATCTCTCCTGGGGGTTGATTTCTTGCTTTCTGTCTCTGTTTTTCTCTGTCTTTCTGGTGAGTGCATGTGCCCTGTACCAACAACCTCTCCAGAAAAAAAAAAAAAAAAATCATAAAATCTATGCTGGTTAACTAAAGCTAAGCACATATAATTTTCCTTGGTGACTTTTTTTTTTTTTTTTTAATCCTTTACCTGTATGACTTCCCTATGGATAGATTCAAGACAATACCCTTAGGGACACTTTTTTTTTTAAAGAGATTTTTGCTATTGGGTGTGAGCACTTGCCAGAGAGAGCAAGCGAGAAATCATACCCCCAGGGAGGATGGCCACACCGCAGTCCTTTCTGCATTTCCTCTAGGGATCTTGGGAATATAATCACATGCGTCCAGGGTGAGTTTAAAGCCTCCAGGTCCGGGACTCGAACTGCAGTCAACTGCTTGGGAGTCCAGTCGTCTAACACTATTTGAAGGGATTTCTTGAAATGCCAAGGTTGTGGATAATTTCAACTCTTTGTTCGGTAGTAAGAAATGTAATAAGGCATTAATTTTATATTTAACCAAACTTATTTTTTAATGCAGATTTTTAATTGCCAGTTTACTTAACAAAGCTATTGTCCTGCAAAAGTTGTAGGTTGTCCTGAAAAGAGAGAACTAATGTTCACTAGAGGCAGGATCAGCTCATCTGCATAGGTAGGTCATCAATAAATAAGTATTGTGTCCTCTATTGGTGAAGAATTTCTATTGTTTTGAACACCAACCGTTTTTTGTAAAAGCTATTTTTCCCCCCCCAAAAGAATTTATTTATTTATCTTAATTGGCTAGAGGTCATGTATGCTTGCCAGAGAGAGAGAGAGAGAGAGAGAGATAGAAAGTAAGAAAGCAAGCCACCAGGTCCAGGATGCAGACTGTGGTCAGCCATGTGGGTGTATCTAGCACCTCAACCACCATACCACCTGCTGGCCCCAGATAGCCAACTTTTGTGGTTTTTTTGGAGAGGTTTTTGCTATAGGGTGTGTGCACTCCCAGACAGACAGAGAGACAGCAAGAAATCACCCCTCAGTGGGGAATGGCCACACCGCAATCCCTTGTTCTCCTTTCTCAGGATCTTGGGCACACACGCCCTAGCGTGAGTTTAAGCCACCCGGTTCAGGACTTGAACCATGGTCAACTACATGGGAGTCCGGTGACATAGCCATCACACCAACTGCTGGTTCCCCGGATAGCCAGCTTTTGACGGCAGTGGAGGGAAATCCAAAATCCAGTTGAGGTGGTATGAGTCAGAGGATGGAAAAAAAAAAAAGTCAGCTCTGCTTATCCAAGTTCACTACAACTTTATGAACCGTGACTTAATGTAATAGTTTAATAAGTTAAAAAAAAATGACTAACAACTATTCACCTTTATGAACAGGTTTAATGTAACATGGAATGCAAAAGATTAGAACCATTAATAAATATTGAATTCTTAATTTCAGCTGTAAAAAATAATTAAATAAAGTCGAAACAGGATAGTGACCAGAATAGTACCATTATGATCACATTAAATAGAAAAGTTTCCATCAATATTTTAAGAATGTCAAAAATGCAATACAATACATTTTTTTAAAGTATTCCACTTGATTTTGTAATACTCCATTTTCCATAAAAATGTTATTCAGAAGAGAGACTTTCAGAAACCTATGAAAAGTGTAACCGGGGTAGAATACAAATGTTCAGATTTGCTAATTAATAACTCCAATGTCCCCTTATATTTACTCTTAGGTATTTTTAATGAATAATTATTGTGTTTCAGAGATAAGATAGGTGCTACTTTATCTACATAGAACTATATAAACTTATTTAAATGTTTCAATTATTTGAATCATGTCACAGTTTACAAGGTAATTTTGTTTATTCTACTTCTTTAAAAGACTGACCAGGTTGTTTACCAGAATTAGGGTCTACAAATGTTGGACTGCACTATACAGAGTTATAACTAATTTATCCAACTTCATGTAATGTGTTGGAAATCATCCACCTGTAAGTATATCCATGTGTGTTTCTCTGAAACAAAAGTATTTAACTTTATAAGATACAGCCTTATTCAATGTGTACTTTTTAAAAAATGAGCAGTATGGATAGCGGCCATAACTCCTTACTACCCGTACTCTTGACTACCAAGAAATGAAGCCAAACTTTAGAAAAATACAATGCAAGAAAAGATTCAAGTTAAAAATATATTCCTTTGGTTAAAAATCATCATCCCCTTTGTAATAATTCATCTGTAATCTATTCACAGCATGTCCCACCAGCCCAAAATAATCTTCTAAATGTCATTATACTTTCAGTATTACAGTGTTTTTGCCAGTCCAGTATTTATGGAGGTCTCTCTGGGTTGCCACAACAAAATATTTTAATTCTAGGAAGGGAATAAGCTTGCAGCATTAGCTCCTTTGATAGCTGTCTTTCTTTAAAGATTTTTACTTCAGAAACCTCCGACACATGTAGTTCTCTTCAGATACTGTATACCCAAACTTCTTATAAAAACCGACATTCTGTGGTAGACATTCAAGGGTAATCTTGTAACAGTTCAGTTTCTTGCTCAGCAAGGTAAGAGTTGATAATAACCTGACATTTTAAAGGGGAAGGGTAGAGAGACCGCACTTAGTAATTATGAAAATAGGCTTAGGTCACATGCTTTTTCATTTTGTTCACTCACATTGTAAGTTGATAAGCATTTAAATCACCAAAGCATTGTTGTTCTCAAACACTTCTTATTAATTTCAAGCCTACTAATAGGACAAATAATTAAACTCAACCTAAGCACTCTTTTTTTTTTTTTTTGATTGTGAGAGGATACCTGGGCTTAACAGAGTTGGGACGAAAGTGAGCACCCCACATGCTGCAATCTCTTCTCCATCTCTTCATCCTGGTAGGATTTACAGCACCCATGTGCACACACGTGATGTATATGCATGTATAACATTTTAAATGTGTTTTTCAGGATTCCCAAGCTAGATTCAAACCATGGTCAGCTGTGTGGAATATTGCTCTCAACCACTAAGAACAGGGCCGACCCAAACATTCTTTTTTTTTTTTTTTTGGAGAGATTTTCACTGTAGGGCACGTGCGCTCGCCAGACAGACAGAGACATAGAGACAGAAAGCGAGAAATCACCCCCCAGGGGGGATGGTCACGCTGCAATCCCTTCTCCTCCATTCTCCTCTCGGGATCTTGGGCACGCACGCACATGCGCCTGGTGTGAGTTTTAAGCCACCGGGTCCGGGACACGAACCGCGGTCGACTATGTGGGAGTCCAGCGACATAGCCATTACACTAACTGCTGGTTCCCCAAAACATTCTTTATGTTAAAAGAAAGTTTGGGCTGATCAACAGAATCACTGCTGTGTAAGAATACTATTAAAACGTAATTTAAAGATACCACTATTGTAAAGTAGTGTAATTGTAATTTCCAAACTTTAGGAAAAACTAGGCTATACAGTGTTTTTTGTTTGTTTGTTTGTTTTTGTTTTTTTCATTAAATTGAGTCTAAGCTGTAGCCTAAAAATGGGTTCATAATTTATGAACCCCAAAATTAACTTGAAAGAGGAAACCTTTTTATAGCAGGTATCAGAAACTACACTGAAACACAGGCACCGATTTTCTGGGGTTACTTTGTTCCCGCCTACTTACAATTTGCCGAGCTGCTTTCCTCTGCATTCATCACTAACGACAACGTCTTCTACTCTTCCTCTCTGAAAATATTTACAATCTTTAAAGACCTAAGAATTAGCTTTTTTTTTTTTTTTTAACTAAAATAGTAAGTGAAAGTTGGTGAAGGGAAAAAAAAGGCAAAAAAAAATTTCAATGTATTGAGGAACTAGTATAATGAATCAATCATCACCTTATGGCCTAATTTCAATTTGGTCATATCCTAAGCTTCCAGCCACATTTTTACAGAGATCTCAACATGCATGGCATCAAAATATAATCTTGTCATGGACATCATACATACATTCTTTTTCTTTTCTTTTGTTTTTGGAGAGATTTATTTTTTTACAGGGCGCATGTGCTTGCCAGGAAGACAGAAAGTGAGAAATCGCCCCCCAAGGGGCATGGCCACACTGCAGTTCCTTCTCCATTCTCTTGTGATCTTGGGCACATGCGCACACACACCCAGCGTGAGTTTAAGCCACCGGGTCCAGGACTCGAACCGCAGTCAACTACATGGGAGTCCAGCGACATAGCCATTACACATGCCAGTCCATACATCCATTCTTTTATTCCTTGCTTAACAACAGTTCATTTCAGACATCCAGAAATGTGTCTGAACACTTCTTGTGTTCAGACATACAAATTAAATTTATTCCTACTATAGAAATCTCACTAAAATCCATAAACCTTTTAGAATACTTTGCAGGTACTCCCATCTTTCTCTCACTGGAGTAGGTGGTTTTCTAGCTCGTGCCTTTTTGAGGGGTATATGGACACAATACAAACATTAAAAGTGACACAGAGCAAAATACAGTATTCTGAACCCTTTGTCACTTGGAAACTGATAGAAATTTGTGTTGATGTAGTAATATATTCGAAGTCTTTTTTTTTTTTTTTTTTAAGAGATTTTTGCTAGAGGGTGCATGCCCTAGCCAAAGAGACAGATGGGTGAGAAATAAACCCGCAGAGGTGGGGGGTGGCCACGTCACAATGCCTTCTCCATTCCATTCTCGGGATTTGGGGCATGCATGCACATATGCCTATCATGAGTTTAAGCCACTGGGTCTGGGACTCAAACCACGGTCATCTGTGTGCGAGTCCAACGATGTTATCTTTACACCATCTGCTGGACCACAAAGTCTTGTTTGAAAAAAAATGAAAGTTAAGGATTTTAAACATTACTGTTAAATTGCCTGATACCAACTTGATTTCTCTAAGACTACAAAATCTAACATACAGATTTAGTAAATAATTCATACTGTTAACATTTTCTACCCTCTAGCTCTCACAAGACACTGGGGAAATGCCTGTTACTAAGAGATTTCTATAAATCAATGAAAAGCAGTGAGAAAACAACTAGTCTAATGAAAAGTTGGTTTTGCTAGAAAACAGTTATTCACTTTTCTCATGAACATTAATGTGAATACCTACCTTAGCACAGGAGTGGATGAATTTATGTTCTATTATCAGAGTGGCTGTGGCAACGATCTGTCCTAGGGTCACATCTTCCACAACTGTAACATAATAATCTCCAGATTTCTTCATATGCTCAAAAGATTCTGTGGAAATTGGAACATACACATTCAAATCTGTCAGATGCCAGAAAGATTCTAAGACTAGCAGACTTTACGATTTAAAGCTACTTTACCATAGTAATTTACTTTCTATTTCTAAAGAAAATATTACTAAAAATGACCAAGGCCAGGCAGTAGTGCAGTGATAAGGCCACTGGACCCACATGGGAAGGTTTCAGGGTCATGTCCTGGGGCTTCACTGCATGTGCCTATGATCCAGACTACCTATGCGAGGACTCGGTTAAAGGTGTGTCTGTCTCTCATGGAGAAAAATTAAAGAACTTTAAAAACCAATCAGTTGAGCTGGCAGGTGGTGTGGTTAAAGGCACTGGATTCCCACGTGGCTGACCATGGTTCAATTCCTAGACCTGGTGGCTTGCTTTCTCTCTTTTCCTCTCTCTCTCCCTCTCTCTCTCTCTCTCTCTCTGGTCAAATTAAAAACAAAATAACAAATAGAATTAAATAAATAAATTCTTGAAAAAAAAAAGACCAATCAGTTGAAATATCAGTAGGTGACATGGTGATTAAGGTGTTGGACTCCTACATGGCCAACCAAACAGTTTTGAGTCCTGGACCTGGTGGTTTCTTTTAAATTTTTTCTCTCTCTGTCTCTCTGTGGTAAAATTAAAAATAAATTTAAAAAATTAAATAGTTAAAAATATATATATCAACAATATTACTTGGTATACAGTCTCTCCTATTATCACTTCCATCCTCTCCTCCTAGATAGGGGCTTGATGTGAGAAAAAAATAGATTTGATGACGGAAAACAGAATCTGAAAATGAACACCTTCATTCTCAGGAGGGTCAGATAAGAGTACACACACACACAAAGAAACCTGTTAAGGGATAAGAATAACAGAACAGGAAAAAGTAGTGTTAGAGCACTAGATGGAGTTAAGGTCTTAGTCCTTTACTTAAAAGTCATAAGGGGTGGGACCAGCAGGTGGTTTAATAGTTACGTCACTGGACTCCCATGTAGTCAATTGCAGTTCAAGGTCCAGACTTGATGGCTTAAAACTCAGGCTGGGTACATGTGTGTGCATGCCCCAAATCCCAAGAGATGAATGGAGAAGGGATTGCAGTGTGGCCATCCTTGCTGGGAGGTGATTTCTCGCTTTCTGTCTGTCTGGGGAACACATGTATCCTATAGCAAAAAATCTCTCAAAAAAAAAAAAAATCACAAGGGATCTTGGGCAAATCATTGGATCAGCTGGATTCCTCTTTTCTCATATATCTAAAAAATTGGACTTTGGACCAGTAGATGGTATTAGTAGTTACAATGCTTGGCTCCCAAGTAGTCAACCAAAGTTCAAGTCCCAGACTCGGCTTAAAACTCATGCCCAACACGTGTGCATGCATGCTAAAGATCCCGAGAAGAGAATGGAATACAAGGGACTGCAACATGGCCATCCTCCTGGGGAGTGATTTCTCACTTTCTCTTTGTCTGTCTGTCTCTCCTGCAAGCACGTGTGCCCTTTAGCAAAAAATCTCTCAAAAAAAAAACTTTAATATAGGGACTAGCAGGTGGCATGTTGATTAAGGTGCTGGGTGCTCCCACACATGGCTGACCATGGTTTGAGTCCTGGACCTGGTAGCTTGCTCTCTCACCTCTCTCTCTCTCTGTGTATCTCTCTAGTTAAATTAAAAATGAATGAATGAATAAATAAAGTTAAATAAATAATTAAAAAAAAACCTTTAATATACATGAACCAAAAAGTAGAAAACATCCTTTTAAAATTTTGATTTGGTGATGAAATTTCTGTTAATAACCTAATCATATAAAAGGAAATAACTAAGATTTTTAAAAATTGCTACATTTGATTTTAGAATAATACAGCCATATTAAACATTAAAATAAGAAAATAGGTAATTTTTATTTGACTTCTAGCTATTTGAACAAAAAACACAAGCACTGAACAGAACTCTAGGAAATAAAATACTTCTTTTCATTCAGAAAATACTAAGTATAATACTTACTCATAAATTGTTCAGGGCTGACAACTCCAGTCTCTGTCAGCTGACCCAATACCTTAAAAAAACCTAGTTTTGAAAAACAGATTTCAAATCAAGAGATGAGCATAAGGAAGATCAAATATAAAAGGCAGTATGTAAGCTGAGTGTGCACAACTATTTTTGCAGAAGTTTCTAGAATGAGGCTAGCAGCAGTGGCACAACACTGCAACGCTGAGGCTGTGCAGGGAGGTTCCAGGTTTGTGCCCCAAGGTCTACATCCTAGGTGCCCATATGCCCATGATGCTGGTTGGCTGGGATGGAGGAGAGCACAGCTTGAGGACCCTTTTGGAGGTGTGTGTGTATGTGTGTGTCTTGAGATAGAAACGTTTTTTGGGGGGGAGAGGTTTTTGCTATAGGGCGTGTGCACTCACCAAAAAGACAGAGAAAGCAAGAAATCACCCCCGAGAGGGGATGGCCACACCACAGTCCCTTCTCCTCCATTCTCCTCTCGGGATCTTGGACACACACGCACACGCGCCCAGTGTGAGTTTAAAGCCACCGGATCCGAGACTCAAACTGCAGTCGACTATATGGGAGTCCAGCAACATAGCCATTACGCTAACTGCTGGTCCTGAGATAGACACTTTTTAAAACAACTTTTTATATTGAATCATCCTTAAGGATAAGTTAAGACAATTAAACAGAAGCATATTATTTCTATGATCACTACAGACAGCAAAGACGTTTCAACACTATAGGATTTTTGCAGTAGTTAGAACCTTAATATCCATATATATAAAACCAGCACATACATTTTTTCAGTGTACTTTACATTAAGTTCAATATAAAGAATGGCAAATTGGAACCAGCAGGTTGTGTGGTGGTTAAGGCATATTATTTGTAAAATAAAATACAAATAATATAACACTGTTATGGTTATAATTTTAGATTCCTAATTAATTTTATTAATGTTATCCTAAGTGAATGTGAGCAGCACATTTAGAACTTTGAAAATCTTAACTTCTACACTCAGTAGTTAAGTTAACCAAAATTATTTTTTTTCAGATTTTCTACCAAAAAGAAAAACTGGAAAGAAAGAAGTTGATTTGTAATTTCCCAAATTTAAGGAAATTATTTTGCATAATTTAGATCTTAAAAAAGAAGAGATAGAGGGCCAACCGGTAACCTGGTGATTAAGACCCAGATCCCATGTGGTTAATCATGTGGTTCTAGTCTCAGACCTGGGTGTTTGAAAAACATGACAAGTTGGGGCCAGTTGATGACAAGGTGGGTAAGGCACTGGAACCCACATGACTGACTGTGTGGACCCTACAGTTTGAAAAACATGCTGGGCATGCATATGTGTGCCCAAGAATCCCAGGATAATAGAGGAGAAAGGGTTACAGTGTGGCCACCCCCGCAGAAGGTGATTTCTCACTTTCCCTTTCTCTGGTGAGTACACACACCCTACAACAAAACTCTAAAACAGAAAACATAACAGGTGCGTGTGCATGTACGTGCTCAATATCCCAGGTGGATGGAGAAATGGAGGAGACGGGATTACCATGTGACTGCCCCATTGGCAGGGGGGTTACTTCCTCTCGTGCTCTTATCCCTGGCAATTTTTTTTTTTTTAAATAATAGAAACAGGCTGGCAGGTGGTGTGGTGGTAAAAAGGCACTGGATGCCCACATGGCTGACCACTTTTCGAATCCTGGACCTGGCGGCTTGCTTTCTTACTTTCTCTCTCTCTCATTGTTCCTCTCTGGTCAAATTAAAATAAAGTTAAATTTAAAAAACAGTTATTTAAAAACAATAATAATAAAAAGAAAGGAAAGAAAGAAATATAAGCCCAGCCGCTGTGGCAGTAATGCAGTAATGCAAGTGTTCTGCAGCGCCAGAGGCCTATGGCTGATTGCAGGTTCAGGTCGCCGGGTCAGCTTGCAAACACAGTGGGCCTGTGCATAGGTGCCCAGCATCCTCAGGAACCTGGAGAACCAGAGAATGAGGATTGTGGTGTGAAGAGACTTTATCGAAAGTGCATTTCTCTCGTCATTCTTATGTGCACCTGCATGTGCTCCCCGTCATAGGAAGATAAAAGAAATACAGGGCCAGCAGATGGCATAGCGGTTACTTGGCTGGACTCCCACATGGCCAACTGCAGTTCAAGTCCGGGACCCAGTGGCTTGAAAATCATGCTGGAGAACAGAGGAGAGGGGATTGTAGGGTGACTTCTCACTTTCCCTCTCATTATGTGTCTCTTCCCAACCCCTTGCATGGCCTAACGCAAAACCTCTTAAAAAAAAAAAAAGAAGATAAAATCCTTTTATCTAACCTAAGGAAAATGATCTCTACCTTCATTTCCCTTCCAGCTTCTTACAGATTATTTGTTAAATCATAATCATTCTACCTTTGTTTATGAGAAATCTTCTTGGCTTAACCAGAAAGGAGCAGTGCTGTATTTAAGTCATTTGCAATTTCATAGTAATATTTGGTCTATTCACGACAATACACACTTTGGAACCGAGTGTCCCAATCACTTTATTTATTTTTCTTTGCTGTAAGGTGTGTGTGTTCTCACCAGAGAGAGACTGGGAGTCATGAGGGAGGGAAAATAAGGAAGCACCCTCCTACATGGGGCATGAACACATCTCAATCCTTTCTCTTACACTGCTGGGATTTAGGTGCGTGCATGAGTGCACGCGCAAGGCCTTTTTCTTTTCTTTCCTTCTTCAGATTTTAAAATGTTTAATGTAGTTCAAGCAGTGTCTGGTTCATTTTAGCTCCTTCACCACCAAACCCGGGGGCACTGACCACTTCAGTTTCTACGCCTTCTCTTTATGATGACCAAGGTGTAAAGGTATCCACTGCATCGAACTTTAACCTTCATATTATCTTTATTTTTCTTGATTTTGACAGATTTGATATCCTTTCGCCAGGCTGTTAGCAGAGAGTCTTTGATTTTCTCAATATTCCTAGGCTCATATGGCGGGGAGCACAGGGAGAGGGTACCGACAGCACAGCCAGCAGCCAGAAAGGAAGAACAGGCATGGCATATTTTTAAGCCACTGGGTCCAGGACTCAAACCTTGCAGTAAGCCACGTGGGATTCAGCTGCCTTAACCACCATACTACCATTTGGCTCCCCACCTCCAGTCACTTTAGAAATTACAGGACCAGCTTCACAGTGCAGTTAAGCCCTGTAAAGGGAGCCAGATCCCACATAGCCAACTGTGGTTCAAGTCCTGGCATTGGTGCCTTGAAAAACACACCACTGAGGGGCACTGGCATCTTGACACACCTGTGGCTGTGGCAGCAGGCGTGAGCACGTGGGCCCTCACAGAGCCAGGCACATTCGCCTGCACACGTTAGACCGTTTTCTGGGTGGCATGTGAATGCCTCAGGTGGGACCACGGGGAGTGGGACTGGAAACCGTACAAACAGCTGTTGTGGTTCGTGGGGCCGTGGCCTCCCTCTGGAGGGAGCACGAGGAAACGTGAGGCAGAGTTCACATGAAAGTGTCAGACCTTGCACACAGAATTATGTGTGCATGCCCATAATTCTGATGAGATGCTGAAATGGAGGAAAAGGGATTGCAGTGTGACCACAGCACATTGGAGCTTGCTTTCTTGAGTGAATACACATAACCTATGACCAAAAAAAATAGGTTAAAAAAATAGTTCATGGGGCCAGCAGGTGGCAGTGGTTAAGGGCACTGGACTCTCACATAGTCAACCAAAGATCCCAAGAGGAGAATGGAGGAGAAGGGATTGCAATGTGACTGCCCCATTGGCAGGGGGGTTACTTCCTCTCGTGCTCTTATCCCTGGCAATTTTTTTTTTTTTAAATAATAGAAACAGGCTGGCAGGTGGTGTGGTGGTAAAAAGGCACTGGATGCCCACATGGCTGACCACTTTTCGAATCCTGGACCTGGCGGCTTGCTTTCTTACTTTCTCTCTCTCTCATTGTTCCTCTCTGGTCAAATTAAAATAAAGTTAAATTTAAAAAACAGTTATTTAAAAACAATAATAATAAAAAGAAAGGAAAGAAAGAAATATAAGCCCAGCCGCTGTGGCAGTAATGCAGTAATGCAAGTGTTCTGCAGCGCCAGAGGCCTATGGCTGATTGCAGGTTCAGGTCGCCGGGTCAGCTTGCAAACACAGTGGGCCTGTGCATAGGTGCCCAGCATCCTCAGGAACCTGGAGAACCAGAGAATGAGGATTGTGGTGTGAAGAGACTTTATCGAAAGTGCATTTCTCTCGTCATTCTTATGTGCACCTGCATGTGCTCCCCGTCATAGGAAGATAAAAGAAATACAGGGCCAGCAGATGGCATAGCGGTTACTTGGCTGGACTCCCACATGGCCAACTGCAGTTCAAGTCCGGGACCCAGTGGCTTGAAAATCATGCTGGAGAACAGAGGAGAGGGGATTGTAGGGTGACTTCTCACTTTCCCTCTCATTATGTGTCTCTTCCCAACCCCTTGCATGGCCTAACGCAAAACCTCTTAAAAAAAAAAAAAGAAGATAAAATCCTTTTATCTAACCTAAGGAAAATGATCTCTACCTTCATTTCCCTTCCAGCTTCTTACAGATTATTTGTTAAATCATAATCATTCTACCTTTGTTTATGAGAAATCTTCTTGGCTTAACCAGAAAGGAGCAGTGCTGTATTTAAGTCATTTGCAATTTCATAGTAATATTTGGTCTATTCACGACAATACACACTTTGGAACCGAGTGTCCCAATCACTTTATTTATTTTTCTTTGCTGTAAGGTGTGTGTGTTCTCACCAGAGAGAGACTGGGAGTCATGAGGGAGGGAAAATAAGGAAGCACCCTCCTACATGGGGCATGAACACATCTCAATCCTTTCTCTTACACTGCTGGGATTTAGGTGCGTGCATGAGTGCACGCGCAAGGCCTTTTTCTTTTCTTTCCTTCTTCAGATTTTAAAATGTTTAATGTAGTTCAAGCAGTGTCTGGTTCATTTTAGCTCCTTCACCACCAAACCCGGGGGCACTGACCACTTCAGTTTCTACGCCTTCTCTTTATGATGACCAAGGTGTAAAGGTATCCACTGCATCGAACTTTAACCTTCATATTATCTTTATTTTTCTTGATTTTGACAGATTTGATATCCTTTCGCCAGGCTGTTAGCAGAGAGTCTTTGATTTTCTCAATATTCCTAGGCTCATATGGCGGGGAGCACAGGGAGAGGGTACCGACAGCACAGCCAGCAGCCAGAAAGGAAGAACAGGCATGGCATATTTTTAAGCCACTGGGTCCAGGACTCAAACCTTGCAGTAAGCCACGTGGGATTCAGCTGCCTTAACCACCATACTACCATTTGGCTCCCCACCTCCAGTCACTTTAGAAATTACAGGACCAGCTTCACAGTGCAGTTAAGCCCTGTAAAGGGAGCCAGATCCCACATAGCCAACTGTGGTTCAAGTCCTGGCATTGGTGCCTTGAAAAACACACCACTGAGGGGCACTGGCATCTTGACACACCTGTGGCTGTGGCAGCAGGCGTGAGCACGTGGGCCCTCACAGAGCCAGGCACATTCGCCTGCACACGTTAGACCGTTTTCTGGGTGGCATGTGAATGCCTCAGGTGGGACCACGGGGAGTGGGACTGGAAACCGTACAAACAGCTGTTGTGGTTCGTGGGGCCGTGGCCTCCCTCTGGAGGGAGCACGAGGAAACGTGAGGCAGAGTTCACATGAAAGTGTCAGACCTTGCACACAGAATTATGTGTGCATGCCCATAATTCTGATGAGATGCTGAAATGGAGGAAAAGGGATTGCAGTGTGACCACAGCACATTGGAGCTTGCTTTCTTGAGTGAATACACATAACCTATGACCAAAAAAAATAGGTTAAAAAAATAGTTCATGGGGCCAGCAGGTGGCAGTGGTTAAGGGCACTGGACTCTCACATAGTCAACCACGGTTCAAGTCCGGGACCTGGTGCTTGCTTTCTCACTTTCCCTCTCTCTCTCTCTTTCTCCGACTCTGTCTGTCTCTGGTTAAAATAAATAAATAAATAAAGTAAGTTAAATAAAATAAAAAATTGAAAAAAAAAAGTTCACAAGTCAAAAATTGTTTTTAAGTTATCAGCACCATAATGTTTATGGAGAAAACAGAAAGCTCACCATAATTCTAGCCAGGACTTATAAACCGAGTAAGACCATACCTCTATTTAAGTCAGCAGTACAAAGAGGTCTCAAAACCAGGCCTTCTCCAGGATGTGTTGGGGAAATAGCTGGAGAAAACGTAGCTGTATTCTGACTCCAGTCCACTTCTTTGAGTAGACTTGGGTCAAACATAGGTGTTTCATCAGGTTTCATCTTTTCAGTAAGACCTAAAATAAAAATATGAAAGTTATGGCATCTTATTTAATAGAAGGAAAATTATTATGATTGGTGAGAAAGTTAACTTCTTCATATGAACTATTGCAATTAGAAGCATTATTTCATGTTCGAGATATTTTACGTTAGCCTATCCTCAATTTTTTTTAATTTCTAGTTTTTTGTCTTTTTTTTTTTTTTTTTTTTTTTATTTCAGTTTTTTCTGCTATAGGGTGTGTGCACTTGCTGGTGAGACAAAGAAACAGAAGGTGAGAAATCACCCCCTGGGTGGGATGACCACAAGCTACAATCCCTTCTCCATTCTCTTCTCAGGATTTGGGCACACACTCACACATGCCCAGCATGAATTTTAAGCCACTGGGTCCAGGACTTGAACCGCAGTCGACTATGTGGGAGTCCAGCGATGTAACCATTATGCTATCTACTGGTACCAAGCCTATCCTCAGTTTAACATCAAATGCCACAACTACAAATATACTGAAAATTGCCAGTGGCAATTTGCATTCAATTTAACAAATTTATCACTCCTTCAAAACTGATTTTTTTTTGACTTTGCATGTGTCTGTATTTTTTTTTCTTTAAGACAGGGTCCCACAGGGTTGGCAGGTGGCATGGTGGCTAAAGTCGCTGGATTTCTACATGGCTGACCACGATTTGAGTCCTGGACCTAGCAGTTTGCTTTCTCACTTTCCCTTTCTCTCTCTGGTCAAGTTAAAAAATAATAACAAATGGAATTAAATAAATAAATATTTTTAAATTTTTAAAAAGGCAGGGTCCCACTATATTGCCCTTGCTGGCCATGAGCTCATAATCTTTCTACCTACGCCTCCAAGTTGCTTGGACTCCAGTTGTGTTTTCTTTTTTTAATTTATTCATTCATTCATTTTAATTTGACCAGAGAGAGACACAGAGAAAAAGAGACAGAGGGAAAGTGAGAAAGCAAGCCATCAGGTCCAGGATTCGAACTGTGGCTGACCAGGTGGGAGTGTCCAGCGCCTTAACCACCACGCCATCTGCTGGTCCCTCCAGCTGTGTTTTCTTATGTTTTGTTTTTAGGGTGGGCTGGAAATCTAACCCAGGTCTCCCATGTGGCCCCAGACTCAAGGAGCAGCATCAAGTACTCTATAGTTGGGTAGACCTTGAAACTGGTTTTTTATAGGTTAGTTCTAGTAACTACATTTTAGTGTTTGTCCCTGATAATTGGACCCCTGAAGCTTTTGTGTATAATCTCACCTGTTGCTTATCAAGTATTTAGATAAACAGGCTAAATTCTTATCAATTAAGTATTGGGTAGTCCGAAGTCATGACACATTTTTGCATAGAAAAATGTAGAAAAATACGTCATGTTTTTCCGACGATCCAATAGAATGTGTACATTAAACGCAAAAACTAGAAAGTATTAAAAATGTAACCGTATTATTTAAATATTCTGATTGTGCTATTTAACATGTAATTGTAAGCATAAAGTTTAAAGAAAGCTAAAAAGGGAATTTAGATTAACATGAATGAAATGTAAAGTTTATTAGATTTCTTTTTCCCATGAAGTTGCCAGAGTTTACAATAAAATATAGCCTGGAAAAAATGCAAAATAGAGATGTGCACAAGAAAATTAAGATGATAAAGCCTTACATAAATTTTTTTTCAGTTAACTTTATTCATTTATTTATTCATCTGTTTACTTCAATTTGACCAGAGAGGAAGAAAGGGAGAGGGAGAGAGAAAGTGAGAAAGCAGGTCTGGGACTTGAACTGTGGTCAGCCATGTGGGAATTCAGCGCCCTTAACCACCATGTCACCTGCTAGCCCCAGCCTTACATAAATTATAATACTTCCTTGTGGGTTTTTTTTTTCCCCCAAGAGATTTTGCTATAGGGCGCATGTGCTTGCTAGAGAGAGAGAGCCAGAAAGCAAGAAATCACCCCTCTGGGAGGATGGCCATGCCACAATCCCTTCTCCATTCTCCTCTTGGGATTTTGGGCATGCACTCACAAGCACCTGAGTTTTAAGCCTCCAATCTGGGACTGGAACCGTCATCAACTATGTGGTAGTCAGCAGTGTAACCATTATACCATCTGCTGGTCCCTCCTGTATTTTTTTTAAATCAGATGGACCTATTCAAGGAATAATCATAAATAATAATGGCTAGCATTTATTGAGTACTTTATATCTCTTAACTTGTTATGGGGCACATGTACTCGCAGGGGAGAAAGAGTAAAGAAAGTGAGAAAGCTCTTCCCATGGGGAATGGTCATAACATACTCCCTTCTCCTCCATTATCATCTTGAGATTTTGGGCATCACATGTACACACCCAGTGTTTTTCAAGCCACCACATCCAGGACTCAAACCATGGTTGGCCATGTTGGAGTCCAGCACTTTAACCGCCACGCCACCTGCTGGCCCCATGTAATTTTTTTCTTTTTAAAGACAGGATCTGGCTATATCACACTCCTGCCTCTGTCTGCTGAGTAGCTAGGACTATAGGTACACACCACTGCCCCTGGCTTTTAAAGTAGAGGGAGAATTGAACCCAAGACTCCCATGTGGCCTTAGCCAGAATAAATTGCAGCTAGCCCCTTAATTTTTTTTTAAGTATTATTTTATTTAACTTCATTTATTTATTTTTAATTTGGCCAGAAAAGGACAGAGTGAGAGAGAGAGGGACGGAAAGTGAGAAGCAGGCTGCCACAACCAGGACTCAAACTGCGTTCCGCCATGTGGGAGTCCAGTGCCCTTAACCATCACACCACCTACTGGCCCTGGCCCCTTAATTTTTAACAAAGAGCCCTACGTTTTAATTTTTGCACAGATTACCACAAATTATGGAGCCAGTACTTCAGGCAAGATGATTTCAGATTGTGCCCTTAACTTTCATTCACACTGAAGATGCACAAGTGTGGACAGATTCCTTACTTCTTGCTGCTCACTGGTCAAAAGTTTAGTTAAAAGCAACACATGGAAGCTACCATTGGAAATAAGAATTTCAGACTAGTTAAAATGCATTAAACAATGGACGGCCCTTGGTGCAGAGGTAATGTGCGGCTCAAGAGAGGCCTCCAGTTTGAATCCCTGGCCCAGTCAGCCTGAAACACTCCAAGCATGCATGAGTGCCCAAGACCCTGAAGGCTGGAGGATGGAGGAAGGGAATCTTAGTGTGACTGTCATGAACAGACCCTGTGGTGAGTGCTCCTCTTTTTCTCACATGTGCGCACACACATGCCCTATCATGAATAAAAAGGGAAAAAAATGCATTAAAGCATTCTGGATAGAAAGAAGAATTCATAATAAAATGTTTTTATGAGTTATTTTACAGAACAGGCCATACTTACATTCCCTTTATTTGATACTGTCCCCAAATGGTAAAATTCTGCTGGTCCCCAACTAACATGCTGGTTAAGGTAAAGCAAGATATAATTTGAGACCAACGTCTAAAGGACTTTATAGAAGTACTAAATAGGTAATTTTTTTTGGTTTGCAAAAGAAACAGTATTTTAGCATTTTTTTAAAGAGATATTTTTGCTATAGGGCGCATGCACTCACCAGAAAGAGACTGAAAGTGAGAAATCACGCCCAAAGGGGATGGCCATGATGCAATCCTTTCTCCTCCATTCTCCTCTCAGGATCTTGCGCACGCATGCACATGGACCCAGCATGAGTTTTAAGCCACTTGGTCCGGGACTCAAACCATGGTCAACTACGTGGGAATCCAGCGATATAACCATGGTGTACCACCTGCAGGTTCCAATATTTTAGTATCTTAAGGTGACTCCAGATACTACAAAATTGGGAAATTTCAGTAAATGAAACTGCACAGCTGTCTGAAGCTGAATCTCATTTTTTAAATAAAAATGAGATTATTTTATTTATTATTATTTTTTAAATTTGCTACTGGGCATGTGTGCTCACCAGGGAGAGAGAGAGGGAAAGTAAGAAAGGAAATTGCCAGGTCCACGATTCGTGGACCACGATTCGTGGTCAGCCATGTGGGAGTCCAGTGATTCAACCACCATACCACCTGCTGACCCCTCCACCCCAATCTCATTGTTATCATTAAGGTATTAAAGGTTTTTGATCAAATTTAAAAAGTAAACCCTAGACCTCCTAAGTAGTCCTCAAGGATCTCTTTCGTTTAACTGCTATGTGAGCATGCATTTAGAGGGCCCCTATATACCTAACTGTAGCCCAATAAATGCCTAGTGAATGAGTAACAGATGCAGTAAAACTTAACCTGGAGGTCACATTTTACAAAATCCAGAGGAAAAAGAAAAAAATAATATTTCCAACCTGCCTTAAGTGATATAAAAAATCCACACCATTGTCATTTTTACTAGTGTCACATGAGTTTTTCTTTCATTTTGAGTACTTTTAGACAATTAGGTTTCCCAGCTTCTATTAGCATATAGATGTGGAGGAGTTACTGCTGGAAGCAAGCAACTGAGATCAACAAGTAATAGACAATAGAGATGAAGATTTAAAATACAAATTTGAAAACCATAATCTAAGGACAAATGTAAACCGATAATATATACACATACACACACACACACACACACACACACACACACACACATATATATTTCAGAGACCCTGCCACCTGCTGGCCCCTCTAAATATTATAAAACTCGATCATTTTATAGACCCAGCCGTATTTATAAACTGTGCACTTGCACAGATTTTCACAAGTTTGTTTCAATAGTCTATTTGAGTTTTTCAATCTAGGCATTATTCCCAGTCTACGGATGAGGAAGCTAGGGCACAGGGAACTTTAAGGCTTGACCCAAAGTAACGCAGCAAATGAATGAATTAGGTCCAGAATCCTCTTGTTTTCCCATCTTGTGCGCTACATTGCCATGTTCAAGAGATGCCAGTCTTTCTTCACGCTATGGTAACAGACTTGTAGTTGTCTCCTCTTTTCGGCGAATCCTGCCTAAGCAGATCTAAATGATGTCTTGAGATCCAGTCTAGGATTCAAAACGAATGCCATAATCGTCTGTTGGATTTCGTATGAAATTTTTAGAGTTCAGTTTACATAAATACCAGTTCCTACAACAGAAATCACAGGGCTCGGTGTTTCTAGAAGGTAGAAGCCCTTAGAAAAGAGACAAAAGATGTCCCTCCCCAGGGAAAGCCCCAATCTAGTCAGTGCAGGGGGTGATCTTCCGAGCAGGAGGGTGTCCTCAGTGGCTCCGACCGTCACTGTGCGCACCACGGAAAGGACTGGGAGAAAGGGCCTGGGGCGTTCCTGTCAGTTCAAAACGGATGGCTGCCGAGACCTCAAGCAACAGTGTATCTCACGCCAGACTGGTGAGCAATGAGTTAGTTTCGGCCCCAGTCCCTGCTCATGCCCGGCCAGACAAGGACCACTGCGTGGCAAGACCTCGGACCAACATCCTTTATCTCTGTTCCTGGCGGGTGTCGGTTCAACTTCGTCGGAACCGCGCTCTACACCCATGTGCACCCACCTGGCCAAGATAAATGCCCGGCTGCCCCTACACAACCCCTTGGGGCCTAGCATGCCTCACTCGGTCAGCAGACACACCTGCTTGAGACACCTGAAGGCTGGCCTACAACGGCCCCCCGGACACCCGGTCCTGCTCCGGTTCCCTGGCCCCTGCTTACCGAAGGAGGCCCCCAGTCTGAGCTCCTCTCCAGGCTCGTCGGACTCCACCGCCGGAGTACACAGCACCGGATCCGGATCCAGATCCGGCTTCAGCTCCAGCCCCACCTCTTCCACCGTCAGCACCACTGAGTGCAACCCCGGCCCAGACGTGGC